TCCCCCCCCCCCCCCCCCCCCCCGTGTGGCATGGCATGGCATGTAATACCATGTGTTAATTTAGGTGTGCACCATTCGCGACTTGTGCTACCAGACTCTGCTGGACCACGCGAGCAAGGACTCTTCCCCTATGCAGGTGGAAATCTCGCCATCTCGCGATGCGATGCGATACTATTATCGTTCTTGTGTGCAACAGAAGTATCTATCCATTATATTTTTCATACATACCTTGGTCAGTGCAACGGTTTGTCCTGTTTCAGGCACAGCCGTGTGTTCCGAGAGGCTGCAATGGAGCAAAGCACCCCACGTGCCTTTTTAAGGTGGCTTGGGATAAGCAGGGGCGTATAGTTCTTGTCGCTCATGGTGTTGGCCAGCTGCAAAAACGACTGATGCTACGTGCTAAGAGACCAAGTTGAGGTACGCCATCTGTGCACTTGACGAAGTCTCTGCTGTTTCACTCTTCGCGCTCAGCATTGGACCTCCGACGTGGCCCATATTTTCGTCTCGTTTGATGATTTACTTGTATCGTTTCCTTTCCTTCCAGGTGTCGCACATCCAATCCTCCGTGACCGATTGGACAAGGCAAAGGGTAGCAAAAAACCGGGCCACCATTCAGCGGCACATAGCCGGCCTCTGGCCTTTGGTGAGAGCAGAGTCGCACCGCTGAACGTATTGCAATCCCCGATCTCTTGTGGATGCTATGGAGGACTCGGGGTAGTTTTACAACAGAGGCCGGAGCCTCGTACTTGTATGTGACTTTCTGAGAAGCGTAGTGCGATGTGCATACTTTTGGTTGCTGTGGACCTTTCCCTCGCCACACGGTTTCGAGAAGGTTGCTGCGGTTTGTGTTGTGCTTTCGTTTTTTGTTTTAAACAAATGTTTCTTGTTTCACGACGCGAAGTACAAGCATTGCTAAAGTTCCTGGTCCTAGTTGCTGGGGCCACCGTTCCAAAGCGCGCCGCCAACTGCGAATCAGCCACTCTTTGACCCTTTTGGTTTGGTCCTGTGCTCCGTAGCCGCACCCAGTAGGTATGCGGTCGGTATGATTCCTCTGCATGTGCGGAATACAGAATACAGATGGACATGGCACGACTGCTCCTCGTGTGGATAGCGTCGCCGTCACCGTCGCCGTCACCGTCAGTGAGTGTCAGTGTATGCATGTGTCTACCAAAGCCGGCCCGCCACTTGGTGCTTTGGGGCTATGCTGTACAACATCCTTGACATCTTTCGCTGACTTGATGGATCCCGTCCAGGTGGAGAGGGAAGTGGAGCACGACGAGAGGATCAGGAGGTGTTACAAGAGCCTCGCAGGGAAGCGCAGCGTGGCGTGTTGGAAGTGGGTGGGTCCGACGGGCACTCGCTTCGAGACAATCGGGGTGAGTCATGGTGCCGCCGTACCGTTTGTGCTATAAAAGACGGGGTTTTCAATTGTTGGGCTTTTTGTTTTTCGACGTTGTGGTTGAGAAGGCAACCGGTTCATTAGATGGGGACATTCTCCTGCAGGGCCGGGAGGAATTGTCTACTATCCCGTCCTGGTGAAAGGATGGCCCTCTCTGGCGGAGTAAAGACGTCAGGGATTGGTGTGTATGGGCGCGTGCCGTGACGCGGAAGTAGCTTGATGAAGATTTCATCTACAATACTCCCGTGCGAACACCAAAATGTACCACACACCTTACGCTTACGGTTGGTACATATGGTGTCGCGTTCGCACGCTTGGAAACAAACAAATCTGTTTCGCGCATGATATCGCCAAGTTGGGATGGCGGTCTGTACCAACATAATGCCGGTTCTTTTCGGGGAAAAGTCGTACGTGCGAGAATCTTGCCTTGTCGACCGTTTGGGCAATTTTCTTCTCCGCGAACGGCTTCGATTCACCTGTTTGGCCTTCGAGAAATTTTGTAGCTGGCATGGGAGGTGTCTGCGGATCGTTTATCTGTTTTGCCGAAGTCGGGGTTTGATTTGAGTCGTTGGAGCAAAATTCACCAAGTGTCCGCAAGATCTCTCCAAGGGCAGCTAAACTAAATAGTTCCTTCGCGTCTGTTGTCAAGCATACCTCTATTTCATCAAGTTTGATACAACCCATTCATCGTGAAAGTTTGAATGCCGAAAATGTCCCGGCTAACAAATTGTCCACACCAACAACCCGCGACTTGTATCACCCGTCGATTTTCAGGCCTTGAACCCAGGACGTGCCCCTCGCCTGTTGCTGCTTTGGTGCCAAGAGCGAGCAAGGCCGATGCCATGGTGCCAACTTTGCTGGTTGTTGCAAGCTTAGCTTAGCTTAGGCCTCTCTCTGTTGCCGTGTAATAGCGACAGAGTTGAGGCCAACTACAGCTCTATTTCAGGTCACCGTCGCATGACCCATTTCAGTAGTGCATACGCGTAGTATTTAACGATGCCAGTGCTAAATAACAAGGTAGATGTTGATGTCCATGCGGATGTCTGAGACAAGCAATACATCGGTCGTCGGCACCTTATTTGATCCATGTGGCGGTCGTAGCCGTTATTTTCTTTCTTCTAACTTTGTATCGGATCAAAAGGTAGGAGTCTAGATACGTATGGGGATCGGGGCGGTGGGGGTTACTAATTGTATCGATAAACAGCCACGTCGGCTCGGCTTTAGCAGGAGGTATTGGGCGCGGTTCTTGTAAAGTCATAGGATAGGGTTGCGATAATGTACATCGAGAGTCATGTGGCTCGTACTCGTGGACTAAAGGAAGCGAGACCGAGGGAGAGCCCTGTTGAATTGCCGAGGAACTGGTGCTGCGGCAAAGGGCTTCCCAGCCAACCCACTCTTTTTTCGAAGTTATGCTACCTTGGGTGCTGCAACTGTGGCACGTCCGCGGGTCTGTTTTTTTTTTTTTTTTTCGTGAACACTTTTGTACCCATTCCTGTGGGTGGGGGTGTTGCATGATTTCATCACTGATTTCCGAATTTCGTACAACAGGAACCAACCCAAACATGCAGGAATAGCCCAGAGCGGCTGGTTCCGGGTTGCAAGTATAGTAGCACGTGTTGAGGTACGCATGGCACCAGTTGCGGGACTGGGTATATTCGATGGTATAGTTGCGGGTTGGGTGCACAAGGCTCGCTGACATTTTCAGTACTACGCATACTACAGGAGGGGGGGCATCATTAGATCATGCCGGGGAAATGGTGCTGCCATAGACAGCTTCATGTTTTCCGGAACGTAAAGGTCGTTTTGGTGATTGGGATTGGGATCAAACCCATGGGTCTTATCTTCATCAATCAAAGGAATCACATTTCAGTTGAGTATTTGCGGGTCATACTTGCTCTGTTGTGAGCAGTCGGTTGTGCTATTCACTAGCGGCCGTGTTGCTTCTTTAGAGCTCCCCACTCTACTGGCTGTCGTCGGTGGGGTTATCGTCGAAAACCACGCGAACGTCGCCCTTGTCGCGGCACCACCTTGTTTCAGCTGTTGTGGACACGACGCCGTTAAGCTGTTAACCTAAAGCATCCACACAATTATCATGTTAAGAGTTTTTTCTAGTGCAAGGCCTGGGTTCGGCGTTTTTCAGTGTGAACAAGTGCCTCAAGCTGTCCGCCAAGAAACAAAACAGTGCGCGGTGCTTCCATCAAGGGTGGGTGAGTTCGAGTTTAGCGAAATGGCGGAGCACGGCATGACGTTTCATCTAGAGTGAGGAAATGTCCATTGCAACTCTACCTGAATTTCAGGTACAGATGGAGACGGTTGACAAACGTACTACGGTACTGGCCGATCATCGCTATGGAACATGTGAGGGTATAGCAAGGCGTTCCGCTCAGCCTAACACAGAAAATACAGGGTGAGGAATACTCCGTACTCACAACGGAACAGTTTATTTTGCATCGTTACATTTGTGGTTGCATCACCCATTCTACCCAACCTCGGTAGAACGCCCTGAGTCTGGTCTCAAGGGATCTGCCAACCCACCCCCGACTGTAGCTTCCACAACTGCATCTGTGACCCTAGCTGTGTCGATGGCGTCATTGATTTTCCTCCGACTCCTTGATTCTCGAGGGGTACGTGATTTCCTCCCTTTTCTCCCACCCCCGTCAACCTGTGAAGCGTTCACTCCGTCTACGTCCTTTTGTCTGCCATCCTCCAACGTCCCCGTGCTCGCACTGGTGGCGACCCCTCCCCCTCCACCGATGCTGCCACTGCCGCCGGGTGCCTGTGCCCCGGCGTTGCCGCCGCGGGCTTCTTTGGTTAATCTCTTAATCTCTGCTCGAGCTCTGAGCAGTTCTTTCTTGAGCGAGGCGTTCTCTTCCGTCAATTTGGCTACCTCCGACGTCATTGCCGTCGCCGCCCCGCCCCCCCCTCCCTCAGCTGCGACAACGTCTCCCCCCGACTCGGCACCAGAACCAGCAAAGTCTGCAGCCGCGAAACCCCAAGACGACGGTGCACCGAGATCTGCCCCTTCAATAATCCCCCCGCTGCCCCGGTGTTGTGTAGGCGAAACGCCTCTGTTGGCGGGGTCTCCTCTGCCGCCACCGCCACGGCCAGCGGGCGATGCCGTAGGAACGGGCGTGCTCGGACGGCACAGGGACTCGAATCTAGCCGACAAACCCGGATTTTTCGTGGTGATGGTGTCCTGCGGGGTGGGTAGAAGCGGGCCGAAGAGATGAGTGAGGTTGGTTGCTGGCGGTTAACCCTTGCAGTCTCACCCCACGAAATGTATCTATCTATGGTTGACTTAAGACCTCGCCACCGGATCAACGAAGACGATTGGGATCGGAAGCACCAACATGTTTTCAAGCAGGTATTTTGTTTGTTTTTCCTGGGGGGGGAGAGGGGTGTACTTGTCTGTCGCGCGCGGTCCCCACCTCGGGCTTCTCCGGTTCGACGTGAGGACCGACGTACAAGTACACGTTGAGCGGCTTGGACAACTGGTCAACGACCTCTGGGGTAACCTGCTTGTCGTGGCGATACGTATTTTGCGACGATGGAGTAGTGGGCTAGGGCCTCGAGGGGAGGGGTAGATCGATCATCAGGCGCAGAAATTATCGACTGGGTATCAGACAACGTATCCACGACGGCGGTTGGTGATACTGTAGTCAGCAGGCGGTGTTTGGGCTTGTTCTAGGGTCGATGGCAATATCATGTATCATGCATGCATCCATGTAGCTGATGGATTATCACGTGCCCCCCCCTGTGGTCGCCTTGCGAATGGCGTCCGTGTGGTGTAGCATCAACACCCAACACATCAACACTCATACCGCACAATCCGCTTGTAGTCGAGACTCCTTACGTTCTGCAAAACTTGTATATGAGGCATGTTTTGCGGCGAATACCTTAATCCAGCGTCGTACATCGTCATACGCGTTGTACGGTATCGCACAGAGGTTCGATCGTGTCCCCAGCTCGGTTTACACACTTTTGTGACGGGGCGAGTACCAAAATCGGTGCCTTCGTGATTTCCCCATCGACAGCTCTCGGACCGTGCGTTGCTCGACTTCGGCGTCCTCAGTCTCGTTTGTCGAGGTTCGCAACCGCTGCTAGATGCATCCAATTGCTTGGGGGAAAAGTGTGTCCAAACGCGAATTCACGAAACTCGAGCAACTTCACACGCACCTTGTCCACCCTGTGCACAAAGGAGTAGTTGAGTGCCGGTGAATTTGACGCCGGGTCTGGCTGAACAGTTTCAGTTGTGAATGTTTCACCCAAAAGGTCGTACTGACAGTACGCCGAAGCACACGTGAGCGGTAGGTTGTACCCGGCCTTTATGTCGAAGCGGTATGCCCAAGGCAGTCCAATCAGGTCCTGAGGATGACGACCATGAGACACAGAGCCGGGAAGGCGGAGGGTTACCACAGCAGCACAGTTGTGTCTCTCATCCGTCACTGGACTTCTACACCCTTCTTCTGAACAAACCTTCGATCAAGGATCGGAACGCGGCGAGATGGATACGTCTGAAGGTCTTCGAAGAGCACTGTATCGGAGAACAGCGGCGGGGGAGACGTTACCACAAAAAGGCCTGTGTGTTTCTCTTGTATCCCTATAGTACCAGGGAAGGAGAGAGCCCCGCGCGTGATAAACGAGATCGTTGTGTGGTAGTAGTGTGCGGCATGGTTCACGATGGCACTATTCCCAAATCTATCGCACCTTGGGCGAATCGATCTCCGGGAGATCGACATCGCAGCCGTCGTCCGCCTCAGGGTCGACGGTTCTTCCGTCCGCATCCAGCACCAGGGGGTACCACGAGCTCTCCAGTTTGCCAACTTCGCCGTATGGTGCCCGAACGTTTTTTATAACCGAAAACCGCTCTTCGTCCTATCGGTCGGGGTGGGGCATTGTAGGCGGTGTGAGGAAGAGCACTCGAGGAGGAAGCGATGAGGTGTTACATCTTTCTGTGTACTCCTTGAGCCGCTCGTTTTAAGTGCATTTTCCCATTGCCTCCAGGGCATACGCGCCAACCTACAATACATCGTGATAGAGGAAAAAATATGATCGGCGTCGACCTGTGCCCTCTCGATTCTTCTTGCAGGGTTGAAGCGATAACTATAATTCAAGGTGAATACCCCCCACCTCCGTCGCCATCATGTAGACGATGGGTTCCGTGAAAAGGGTGGCCGCTCCCAGTTGGTGTGTGCCCTGCAAGAGCAACAGGCAAGGGTCGTGCTCCTCCGAGACCATGTACTCTCGTCCGTTGTCCAGAGCCGCTTGGAGTTGGGCAACCTGGAGATTCCCACAGGTGTCAATCAACGTTGTTTTCTTTTTGAGAAGACGCTCTTTTGGTACGTGATGCACTCTCTGCTAGAGCCACCAGATCGGTGACGCGGTCATCCTGCATCGTTCTGTAGAACGCAATAAGCACCCCTCGCAAGCATAATCGGTGCGCTTCAACTACACCATAAACTGCTGTTGATTTGGTCTATTGCCAGATTCAGCATCACTAGACGTACAGGAGGGTGTCGACATATCGCTGTGCTGTTTCTCAACTATGTCCGTTGTAGCGAAGAGCGGCCGTACCTCGTCTTTGAATATCGAGTGTTGCTCCAGGAACTCGAAGGATGACAGGTAGCAGCCCTGCCCCGTTCGCTCGTTCCTCACCTGCACGCTTGCGGCTACCTCGAATGTATCCCCCTAAGGAGAGGGAGAGAGATCACAACCAGAATCAGTGACGGAATCAACCACAGCAGGCATGAAGGGAGTTAAGTGAGCACGCCGCGAAAGGTGGGTGAATTGATGTTGGCGGGGCTAGATGAGTTCATTTTCGACAGCCATGTACAACGAGTACGTGTTTGGATACCATAGTACGATCGAATTCACAAGCGTTCTGACGACTCAATGGGCAGGGGGCGCAGACGCCCACCCGCCAAGTCCTGAACCCATCGTACAAAACCTATCGTGTACCTCGACAGGTATCGATACCTGGTAGGATGGTGCTTGTAGAACACTGACACTGCACCTGTGAGCGCTGCAGGCTGACGTCGAACGTCAGGTAGTCCCGTCCGAAGAGCTGCATGAACTGCTCCGCCTCTTTCACGTGGGGCAAGAGCATTTGGACCTCGTCTTCCGCCGATCGAATCACCTACATTAAATCAAGCAACGGCCACATATGCAAGCCTTCCAACACTTGTCACGACGAAAACAAGCACTGACAAAAATGGCGACAATCGTAACAAGTAGCAGTGCGTACTCTGTGGGCCATTGCATGCCACAGAAGCCAATGGACTATTGCTTGAAAAACACGGCATGGTGCGTGAATGCCATCTTGAGAGGTACGCAGTCAGACACATGTATGTAAGGGATCAACAGTTTTTTCGGCGGTTGTTTCGTGCCAGGTATGTACTAGGTTGTCTTAGACATGTCGTTGGCACCAGTGCTCTCACTACCCTGTCTCCAAGAAAGTGGCCGATTTCTTGTCCTCTGCGCCGTCACGCTGCCGAACTAAATTCGTGCCATCCATCCACTTTCTGCTCCCTCCGTTCACCCTCGCCGCCGCCTCCACAACTCTATCCGCCGTTGAGAACAAATGTTCACCCGCAAATGGCATTATCGTTGCTTATAAATAAGTGCTACTAATAAGTATTTACCAGTGAAGTCTTGCACCTCGACAGAAGGTTTCGAATAATGAACATGCTTTCGCCCGCAGGCTGGTATACTGAATGTAGTCATCATGATGGCCATATCGCACCGGTAAGTATCAATACCATCTCTCACCGAAGCGATCTGCTCGTCGTCGAGAGGCTCTGCGCTGAACAGCAAAGACGTTTCTTTTTCTTCCTCTCCCTTCCTCTCCTTGGTGACACTCTTGGCTTCTTCCTCTGCCTTGGCCTTGGCAATCTGTCACGCTTGTCAGGTCGACAACCAATTGAGGCTTGCGGTCCCGTAGTGGTGGACTGAAGAGGGTCACAAACGACACCCTATAGCCAGGGTTGGTAACAATCTCGATAGCACAATCGAATGTATGAAACACGTGGAAAAAATTACGCAGGCGAACACCTTACGGCGCGTACACGGTCCTCCTTGCCCACGTTCCAATCTGTTCAGAGTTACGATTACCCCAGATGCATCTTGATGTCACTTTGTAGTTTGGTGTATATTTTCCTTCCGGGGACTCTGACATCTCGAAAGTCTGGCGCAATTGCCTACCAAAACCGTTTTACCGCAAGATCACGTCAATTGTTTGCTGGGCACAGACGAGGGCGAAGCGTATTGGTGGACGTGACTTCAAAGGACTGCGTTAAAGAAAGGAACGCACGTCATTTTGGGACAGGTATTGACAAACAGGCATGATATGCTTCCCGTTGCCTTGGCAGGCCACACGCTCCACGACAGCCAAACACGCATATCTGGTCTACCTGTAAATCTTTCAGCTGCTCCTCCATGGCATGCATCTCTGCGGACCGACGCCGCCCGCTTCGGGCCTGGAAAAAGAAAAGTCATGGTGTGGGCGTTGCAAGAGGGTAAGCGACGAATGTAAGAGCAGGAATAGGACGATGAACCAAAGTAATGGTGGGGGAGAGGTACATAGCGTTTCCCAAATACTGACAGAAGTCGGAGCCGTAATTGTACTACTTTGAAGTATTTACTAGACGGGTGCTTCGTTTTTCTGCAGTGTTGGCATACTGTAGGCGAGCGTGAAAGGACGTGGCAAGTTGAATATCAACGACTTCAAGGATCTCCATGTCAACTTTGGATTTCCGTCTCGACTCCCCCGGCATGGGTCCAGCTAGGCTGCTGAATAAATGTGCAAAGCACGAACGACAAAAGAAAGCAATGGAACCACTCGACCTGCCCTGATCCTTCTTCCTGCTTCGACACGGTTATTTCCGCTACTATAGGTGTACACGACTCAGCAGCAAGCTGCCCACACATACGTGACGCTCAAAGGAGTCTTGCAAGGTACTAACAAGAACATTCTTCTCGGCATCGTACCTGCATGGCTTTCTTAAACTCCATCACGGCTTCTTCGGCGGTGGGAGGAGGGCCCGCCTTCGGCGTCTCGAGCGCTTTCCACTTGAAGAGGAGAAGCTCGCCTCCGATGGCGACTCGATCGTACAGCGCCAGAACGACCTACGGTGGACAGTTGGTCAATACGGTGAGAAAAAACGATTTATCATAGTCACCTGTTGGCGTAGATGGGCGTTTGAGAAGGGCTCAGCTCCGTCGTACCAGCAGGAAAGGGCGTACTTAGCCAGGAGGCAAGGCGCAGTAAAAACAGGCCGATCGAAGTGCAAACCGTGAGCGGGTAACGTTCTTCGAAACAGAGCGACGACGCTAAAAACGCAGTATTGCTGGTGAGAATTACTCTTCGGCACCCACTCACCTGTTCTTGTTTGCGCACTCGCCTCCCGTTGTGCAGTACTTCGCCCCTACCTCCAACGAGGGTGACTGTGCCCTTCTCGCCCTTTTCTGCAGCTTTCTTCACTTCCACAGTGCAGTGTTTGCGCTGGACACTGACATGGAGTGGTAGTCATGGGTAAATACGTGGTTGAGAGCAAGTGCGAGCGCACACAGCACTGTGTATCGTGTTGAACATCGTGCCCGGTAGTCTAGTGTTTGCGAGAGGACCAGAGGTAGGTCCCAGCAAGCAGCGCTACAGGTGGTGCCGAGTACGGAGCCAGCAGAATCAGCAACATCCTTTGAACTTGAGCATCCGACCAGCATAGACAAGGCCATTCTCGCCTGACGCTCGCCAAATAAGGCACTCTGGTGGCATCTGAACGACGGCTAACCTCGAGAAATGTCTCGAATACACGTTCCTTTTTGAGACAGGAATATCATACAATATCTTGCAGCCACCCCTCCCGCCCGCCCGCTTCGCCACCTTCTAGTACGATGATCTCGGTCCTTGCTGCTTGAAGCATTTATTACTTTCTTCACTCGTTGGTTCGTTGTTGATTTACTTAGTCGTAGGGCTTCTACTTCTCCACCTGAGCGACATGGGTTGAACGTCGCCTTGCGGTCCAAAGACGGTAACCCGCTTCTTGAGGAGGTAGACGAAACGGTTGTGTCGAAACGGGTCCTCGTCGACATTCACCAGGTGCGGCAGGCGCGTGTCGGCATCGAAGTGGCTCAGGCTGGAAAGCAAGAAGAGCAAGCAAGGAAACAAACCCAAACCGTGGGGCACGAACGGGGTAGGATTGGACGCTGGTACGAGAGCCGCCAGAACGTTAATGAATGGGCTTCATCACGATCAAATTTTTTCACTTTGCTCGAGCCGACCAGCGTGAGCTAATAGTCTATGTCGTACATGAAGGCGACCACTCTAAAAACAAATCAGCCACTAGGTCTATCGGATATCTGTCGAAACGTCTGTACCACGACGGTCCAGGAGTGTGAAATGGGTGGCTGCCACTGGTTGTGTTGCCTTCACTACGTACAACGACGGTTATGCCAATGGAAAGTGTACAACATGAGTATACCCTATGCGAGGCTTGCCTGATTCCTCTCCGGCCGTATTCCTCCTTCTGCTGCTCGAGCTGTCGCTCTTCTGGTGTCGGACCTGTTTTTCCCTCCCCGCCCCCACTCAATACATCTCGCAGCTGCAGCTGCTTCGCTTCGAGCATCTCCTGGAGTCGGCTAACCTGGACATCCCAACGTGCATGAAGTAATCCAGAGGCAGCGTTGTTCATCAACGCGGCCGAGAAAACGCTTTGTTTCCTGACAATGGGCGGCTACCTGTGACTGCAACGGAGCTGATCGCAGGTTCGTCACGTCGAAGCGAACAATGCGCGGCACGAAAGACCCATTTCTCGATGAAACACGCGCAGGTGTGGTCTTGCTGTATGGCTACAGCGAAGGGCAAACAAACCCTACGTGTTCGTTCGAAAAATAGTATGTTCGGAGTCGGGTCAAAAGCGCTCCACCGAACGAATGTTAGTCCATTTCTCGTACCACTTTCGCCTCAAACGAAAGGCGTGGTCATAAAAGTGGTGCGGATTAAACTGAGCACCGACGGTGCAAACCATCCCCCCCCCCCTCTACCCCGGCCTGTGGCGACAGCTACTATAACGTGACCTTGGTAACGAGCGCAGCACACTCAAAGTCGGAGTGATTTGGTTTTCTCGTCACCTGCTCGTGGTTGTTCTTAATCGATTCTCGTCGTTTGCGGGATTCTTCCAAATCTTGTGCGGCGGCAGCCGGTTCATCCCCCGTTGTGACTTCCCCCGTTTCAGTCTCCGGCACCTCCACTTTCGTACCCCCGGACCCATCTCTCGGGTCCTCTCCACTTTCCGGTGCAGCAGCAGGCGGTGTTTCTTCTCCCTCTGCCGTAGCTGGTACCGCATCCGTCGTTTCCGGAACCGGTTCCGGTGCAAATTGCTCTTCGGTCGGTCGTGGTTGTGGCACGGGTGCCTGTGCAAGCTCAAGCTGCTGCTGTCGAAGTTGCTCCACCAGCGCCTGCGTTGTTTTTTGTTGTCGTTGTCGTCGTTGTCGTCCGTCATGCATGCACCTACAGGGAGCAGGGACAACAGGAAGCACTCTGGTCCCGCCGTGACCAAAGAAGCCCTCCTACCAACACTCTTCCGAGGGTGTTTCTACTCCTTCCGTCTCTACGAACTAATTACCTTTGACAGATTCAGTCGCACCTTCGCCCCCCTGTTAGATGTATTAACGTAGTCGAATGCTTAGGATACAACGGTCCTTCACCGCGGGCGCACAAACTTTCTTCCAACCACTGCTTTACTATGTGCTGTACCTTCATTTGCTCCAGTTCCTCCATGAGTTTTTTCTCTGCCAGTGTCGCCTTCACCGTGGCCATCTTGGGCTTCAGTTTTACCACCGAAGCGTTCTTTGCGAATCCCAGTGTTGCAAAGGTGTACTTGTGGTAGGTTACCTCGGGTCGAATAGCGCAAAAAAGGTACGTCCTTCACGAAAAGAACAGCCATATTGAGGGCAGGGCAGGAGAGACGACCACCGCTTAGACCCCTGGGTTGCTGAAAAGAGGGTCACGATTGCATCCATGAGTACTCAATCAAGGATGAAGGACCCCCTCACCATCCGCGAGATTCCTGATGATCAAGAAATCGTGAGCAACAGCTGCAAGCTTTATGTAACCCCGTGACGGACTACGGAAGGTTTCCTCCCCATAACTTCGCTGAGCTTCCGATAAAATATCCAATTCGTGCCTGACCACGCCGAAACTCTCCATGGTACACATGTACATATTGTACGGAATATCAACCATTTATCATATCTGACGTGTGACTAGCATTCGCCTAGACTCGGTTGATATTTCCGCTCGGCGTCGACGTTCCCTTTCCCTCCCCACTCGCGTTCTTTGGGTCTGTTCCCCACTCACCTAGCCTGAAGCATTGTGTCCTTGAGATACTTGCACAAGAAATACGAGTTACACCCGGGGATCGACCCTCCTGGCTTGAGAGTGTTCTTCTGGACAGCCTCCGCCATTTTCATGAAAAACTGGGCCATCTGTATCGGTACAAGAGACATTGCAGAATAGTGTGCACAGCAAAAGATTTGTATCCATTCCGCGTCTGAGTCTTGTTCGCGGCGAATTGCACAGGAGCTTGTGCACGTGGCATCCGGAGAAAAGACTGGGACGGGTTTCCATCTTGCAGTACACGCGAAACATCGTCGGGACAGCGGTCGCATATCGTTCGTCGTACACTCTACGTTTCGCACGACCAGATTTAGGTCGGGACGTCAACCCATCAAGGGCCGCCGTGACTGCGTGGTAGCACTCGGATCCACGCCTGTACCTCGCTGAGGGAGAGGTTAATTTTCTTGCCCTGGTCTTGCAACTCCTTCGTCTTGCGTTGGTCCTGGTGCGGCCCGAGAAACTTATACTCGATATCGCCGCCGTCAAATGTCTGAGAGGATGCATCCAGGCAGAGGGGGAAGATGGTGGCGTTAGGGTCAGGGTACACATTCATTCGTAACATATGGCTTCAGAAAGTTCTAATCCTTCATGTTGTCGTTTGAAATCATTCGACACTTCATTTCTTTTGGCACTCGCAGAGAGAGACGTGGCATCAAATGGTCTCGTCTCACGACTCCCAAGAGCATTGCCGCTCTTGTTTGAAAATTCACTTGGTTCGTATGAAAGAAGCACGTGGGACTCGCCGGAGCACGAGGATCGCACAAACCACCTTTTTCTCGTACAAAGCGTACACGATGTCGCCCGCTGGCTCAGTCCCGGCCAAATCGCACACGTATACTCTTCCCTTCTGTTTCATGCCCGGCATGTCTGGGTGTGGCATTTCCACCTCTAGCGTCATGATGCAGTGCCCTCGTGTACTCTGGTGATTAAACTGATGGGGACGAAACGATATGTAGGGGCAAGACAGCAGGCAGACATCGCTGGAACATGTTGCAATCCATCGATCGACGAAGTGTGACACAGAGGAGGGTGCTTGGATTTAGTGCTTCACCACTTGCTGAGGCCAAGTCGAACAATAACAATCCTTGTTGTTGCAATTGTAGAAGTAGTCCCAACGTCACGGAGGTCTTATCTCTTTCTGGCCAAGAGCGCGCGGTGTAGGAAGCGAACGGCGGTAAAAATTAGGCTTCACGACAACAACACTTTAGCTAGATGTGTCCGCGTTTCTCGTGGTATGCTCATCATGAACAAACGCACTTTCTCGTCACGAACTTTCAGTACAACGCGTTGGGATGATCTCGCTTCTCTGACTCCCTGCCGCTTACCTGCGTGGGTGCTATGGCTTTTCGCGCGTTGGCGGCCCTGAAGGCTTGTCGAAGATCGTCCCAGCTGTTTAGAACGGCACTACTGCACCAGTCAATGTCGGTGAATCCATCCGCGTCCTTTTTCATCCCGTTCTTATAGTGCATCTCCTTACCAACGGGACTCATCAGATCTCGGACGGTATCAACCTGAAATTAGTTGTTTTGTGCGCACGATCACAAGAGGTGCGTATGTTTTCAACCGTGAGACAAGAATCACCGATTCAAATAGTAGTGTGCCGGTTATCGTTTCCCCTTGCACCAAGCACTATTCAACCTGGGCACCAGACGCTACTATACCTACGTTTTCTTTCAACATTCAAGCACGACTTCACGTCACAAATCAGGCCCATGTTGTATACTCTGTGTGAATACCAGCTACAAAAGTTGCTTCTGAACTTAAACCTCAAGGCTATCCACGCCTTAAAGGTGTTCTTTACTCGCGTCACTTCTGCAATATGCCCTACATTTCTATGGAGCAGGTGCACTCACCACATTTTGAAAGTACTTCATGGTGATTTTCCAGCCGTCCTTTTTCTCTTGGAATACCTCGTAGGCGAGTCTTGGAAAAATCCCCCATAACGGATGAGGCTCGCCATGTTTGAACCAGGCCTGGTTCGCATGCGCGAATACCGAATACCGGAAGAATGAGCAGCAAACGACATGACAGGCTGACAACACATGCTCCAGGTTGGTTCGTATGATTTCGCTGAAAAAATACCAACCTGAAAATTGTACATAAGTCCGCTTGTATCCCTTTGCTGTCAGACCTGCACATGTTGCTGTTCGTTAGGTGCATGGAGCACCATGCATGCACGAGACAGGGTGCAACTGTGTAATTCAAGTCGGTGTCGTGCGGTTACGTGACACAGTGTTCCACACGTGTACAAGATTTTGGAAAGTTCATGGCAGTAATATTCCGAGTCTCGACGTTCGTGGCAAATCACCTCACCTCGGGCTCGTCTACCGCGTCCGGTCCGAACACCGTGAAGGTCTTGCCTGACCCAGACAGTCCGTAGGCGAACAACACGACGGCATTACCCGTGAGCAGGTCGGCCTTGATTTTCTTCCCGACCGATAAATACACCTTGAGGCGGGACAGTTTACCGCATGCATCGATCGAAACGTTGCCGCCAGTGGGGCATCACACGTTAAATATTTGTTCCACCCAATTTACATGTACAGTAGCGCGATGTTTTATGGTTCTCTACTGCTGTACTGTACGACCATGTCCGTGTTCGATGATTTTGGAGGTATCACGCGGCGTGCAGAACAGCATCGCCTGGGGTTATTGCGCCAACTAACTGAACGACGCCGCGCTTCGCGAGGGTCGCATTACGAGCAGCGGCGATCCAGCACCGCCCAGGTGCAATCCTAGATGTATCGTGTGTGGCCCGTTGACCGAGGTCGACACCAGAGTAGTCTAGACTTCAACGACACCCCCACCACCAGCACCGGCAACACCGACATCGCCAACGGTATCGTACCTTCTCCTGGTCGATAAGTTCCATTTCAGCCGCTTCAGTGGCGTTATTCTTGACATGGCGGGAAAAGCCATATGCTGACCACCAGGCGTATGTAAAGGCGAACCTCGTCGTTGAGTAGGCTGAGTTGAGGATATCGATCTGAATCCGATGGGAACGGTGACGAGGACGGTACGAGCACGATGACAACGGGACGCGCCCGCTTGTTCGCTGCACGATTTGGAAGAACGCAACCTGTCCACGGCACAGCATTGTCTTCTCACCTACGCCCATACGACGCATTTCATTCGCCAGTCTGCGCCAGATCTCTACATTTGTGTATGTATCCAAATAATCGAAAAATGGATATCTTACTCTGAAGCCTACACGACACGTATCTTTTGTGGTATCCGCCAGAAATGTACACGTGACTTGCCTCGCCCTCTTCTTCCCCGGACTGCGTTAAATTTACGCCCAAATTGTCGTCAATTGTGAAAGGCCTGCACCGAACCGCGACCTTGATGCTCACACTCATGGCTCAAGTTCATGGAACCAAGACAGAAGAGTCTGTCTGGCCCTTCAGCCTGCTGCGCGGTGCCGTGCCCTCGCTGGCGGCGCGCGGTCCATGGGTGCTCCGTGGGTTGAAAACTCATAATTATCCCTCCACGATGGGACGAGTCCGTACGTGAGTCCCCCAGCTAGCTGCTGTGTGTGGGGGGCAGCCTCTACACAAGCGAGACGGGACGGAGAGAGATCGCTAAATGTCGGCGACCCAGCCTCTGGCTGAGGATGAACGCAGTCGACCTGAAGAGCCGTTAGTCGCATCATGCACGGCACGCGTACTGCTTCTGATTGATATCGCCCAGCTGCCTGCCGCGGCGGAATACGAAACGGGCGCCAACGGAGCATCTCGGATTGCGGCTGCTGCCGTTGTCGATGGCCTACAGCTCAGCGTCCTCCGGGTGCTCTCACAGCTCTGTCTATCGTGCTCCTCGAACTCGTGGGTGGAGTGGGCTCCGCGATTCTTCGATTCCCGGAAATGCGGAGTTGGGAAAACTCCCGCTGAGCTAAAGGCTAGGCTGAGATCAAGGCAGGCGGCGCAGAGTGTGAGAGGGTTCAGGAGAGTCACCCAGGGTTCGTTTAGGGCGTTCGGGGATGCCTGCCTTGCAGTGGCCTGTGGGACTCAGGGGGACCCGCTTGCCCGTGACCGGGAGATAGCCTTGAGGCGTTGGGCTCGTGGGCAGAAGAAGCACTCCCCAACTTGGTGAGTGCGAGTTGCGCTCTTCGTATGCGGTCCAAAGCTCCGTGTCCAGCTTTTCGTAACACCATGGATGTTGCAACCTGGCCGGTACCGAACTGCTGTCGTGTATGTAGGAGTTGCACGTCTACATACTCACGCGGCTCTCCATGCCAGCTTTCTTGGGAAGGAGTACATTTTGAATGCAAGGCAAGGCATGCTAGTAGCGTCAATGCGCTCCAGGTGCATACGTATGCGTCGCGTACTTGCTTATATATTTACTACGTGTATCGGCGGATACTTGCGCGAGGTGCACGGAATTCCCAACGGATTTGAAATCTTGCGTTGCTTGGTTGAACGGGGTGGGGGTGCGCGATTCGGCTGCGCGGGCAAGCCTCCACCAGACTTGCCGTAACCACCACCAACACACCCCAGCATCCGTATCGATGATACGGCATGCTATACTTGTATGGGTATACTGTAGATGTGGCGATCCATGCATGGGAGGTGTCTTTTGCTTCGATAACCAACTCTCAACTTCACAGCCGGGATGAAGGTCATTATTTTTGACGCTCGCTTACATCTGTCCTGCTATTCACCACCCCATGCACAGAGGTAAAACGTAGATAGAAAAAAAAGGTACAAGAGCTTGGAGCTATTCGCGATCCGTGCTGCCTGTATTCAACTAGCCGTGAATGAGCAGGTTATTCACGTACCACGTGCATACCAACACCAGTTCTTCGTTGTTTATCCAGCCTTTGGTGCATCCATTAGTCAATGCTTGTATCCATCCACACACTACGGTTCCTCTGACATCCACCCGTGCTTTTCTTTGGATGATGCAAACGTGCAGGAACCAGCCACACCGTAGCGAGCCAGTGGCTGCTGTGAAGAGAACTGCCGCTACGGCAGGCGACGCGGCAGGCGACGAAGACTTGAAGGAGGATATTTCCAAACGAATGTACGACGGACACGATATGTCAAGCCACGAAGTTGTGGTGCGGTCTTTGCTAGAGGTGCTCCAGGAGTTCGACGATGCAAGCGAGGGCGACCGAACGGTGAGGATGCGATTTCCCGTTTCCTCACACCAGCCGTACTGTAGTGAGTGGCCGATTCGATTGTGCTGTTGCTCCAGCTGCAGGATTTGTGCTGTAATTCCGTACCGGTAGTGTACGTGAGGCTGGGGGTACTGACAGTCTAATTTTCGATCCAAGGCGGCTGGTGATGTGGCCTGGTGAACGCCGAGTATGTTCGGCATTCGCCGTGGAACATGTTGTGGACACTGCTCAACACATGGTGGTTTCGCTTCTGCAGAGCCTAGAGCTATTATACCCATGTTTTGGGGGCTGATGCCCGCCCTCCCCCAAATTTTCATACCAGGCTGCCCCCTGTATCGCTAGAGCTACTGATGACCGGGTCAACCGCATGCACCAGCTTCTCGTGCTGCACAGTGCCTTCCCCCACGCGGACAACGATGCTCAGCAGTTTGTGCTTGGAGGAAACTTCACGAGTGAAGCAACAACCATCAACAACGTCGAGGTGCGATAAACCTCCCACCGTATGTCACAGGCAGGGTGGTCCTGGGGCGAAAAATGCATTAGCGATGCTCGGTCGCATCCGATGTATCAGCAACAAGGATCTATTCGATATCCCCAGACCCGCAAAGCATCTTAAGCTCAAGTAGAGGGGTGTATCACATTCCATTCTTTCTATGTGTTTGGGGACGGTAGCATATATAAATGCAAACTGAACGACGCACCACACCTGGCGTGTTTTTGGTGACCATGGTTATTTGTTGCATCCGTTGTAATTTTCCCGTGCGTCGCCTGGCCTTCAGCTGCCGGACGATAAGGCTTCTGCTCTCGACAATCTGCTCAATGGGCACCTCGGCAAGGCCATCATTCGAGCTCGTTCGCTAGGCGTGTCGTTTCTGTGGCAGGATGGGGCCCCAAGCAACGCCGTTGGTGGCGGTGACAACGGGAGGGGGGGGGCAAGCCGAGACCGGTCTATCGTGCGTCGATGCTTGTCTGCAGCAGGCAGCTCGGGTATCCTCCATTGGGGACAGGTAGTGGGATGCACGGGCTTGTTGCCCCCGTCTGCAGCGCTGGGACAGCAGCTTGCACCGCAAAGTGCTCGATACCGGGATGCGGAAATCAGGAAGGGCGGTGATGTGCAAGAGCGAGCGGATAATGCTGTCGTGGCTGTTGCTCTCAATCAGCGTGGAGTCGTCGACTTGCACCTCGTGGCATCAAAGGTGTCGGGCTTTGCCGACCCATGCGATTTATCCATGCTCTCGGGGGGCGGCGGCGGTGCGAACGCGGCGTTACCACCTTCAGTTGATGGCACTGCCTCCAATGTCACCCCTTGGCGGCTGATGGGAACGATACCGGTAGACGAAGTTTGGCCTTCCAGTCTGTTGGGGCAAGGGTGGGGAACAACTCGAGTACTAAAAGTGGAAGGTGGGCGTGGTGCACAGCTATGGCGTTGCTTCCTGAGAGACTTGGTGGCAGGAGAGTTGGCTGGGGTGATCGCTCTTCCGCGGCGACTGTTTGTGTGCGATGCGCAGCCGAACAGCGGCAGCCTCGGACGAGAAGGATGCCTTCCCGAAGCCCTGACCGTGGCCCTGCTGGTACCGGTCAGTGGGGAATGCGCCGTGTGCTTCAGCGCGCGGGGAGTGGAGCCTACGGTCCCGGGTGGAGAGGAGGCCGACTCTGGGCCACGTGCTCTTGACGGGAGAGGCTCCACGGGGTTTACGCACGAGGAGTCGCCTCTTGCAGCCCACGCGTGCGACGGCCGATTGCGAGCTGAATCAGCGCTCTTGGGGAGGGGGAAGGAGGTGGGGCTTGCCATGCAGGAGGCGTCGCTCGCCAGGAAGAGGCGTCGTCAGGCCAAAAGCTTGCCGGGGAAGGGTGCACGTGGAATGAACAACTCAGGCTCATCGCTTGCGGGCGTGGACGTGCAGGGGGCAGGGTCAGGTGGTGGGCGCTCAGCATCGCTCTCGCAGAGAGACTCCGGTTCGCTTTGCTTCACGGCGGAAGGCGCGAGTGGGGACGGAGCGGCCGCGTGCGACGTGCGGCAATGGCGGTTGGAGATGGCCTCTGTCACTTCTCACGGCTCTGCCAGCCCACGAGGCCTCCGGCTGTTCGCCTCGACTCCTGGAGGCGCAGAGGATGACGAGCAGATGTCGTCTACAGGGTCGAGCTCGGGGGGACCTAAAAGAGCGCTCTGTCAGGCACTCGAGGACGCCTCATCTCGTTCCTCTTTGCTCGGTCCCGACGCGGACTCGTCCTCAACGCCGGAAAGCAAGGACGGGAGCGGATGGAGCACGGGAACAGCAGCTGATGCAACGGTCTCGAGACATCGTGGTCAGAGCGAGAGCGTGTTTCCCCCCGTCGGCAACGCGGGCGAGGATGAAACAGGCTTGTTGGACTCGGATGACGGTACCGCGAGCGAGCTTCCGTTGTCTCTCGTGTCCGAGCCAGCGCTGGCTTCCATACCCAGAAGAGTGCTTCCAGCGGAGCTTGCTGCTCTGGCGAAGCGGTGCGCGCGCAGCAATGCATGCTTGGCGCCGGCAGGAGAGGCCGGGATGGCGAACGCCTCCTCCAGTGGTGGTGCCTGCGTTCGTACGGATTTAGGCACATTGAAGTCGCGAAACCCAAGCCCGCAGCAGGTCGGGGCACGCCAACGCTTTGTCGAAGCCGTGCGGGCCTTAGAGCGGAGCAGGCAGGTGGCAGATTCCTCTACCGCTGTTTCAGCAGTGGCAGCTTGTGCAGCGGAGGAAGCTGCCGTTGGACTTGACGTGGAAGCGAAGGACCCGCTGGACCAGCGGTCTGTTCCTGGGGTGCAAGACAGCGTTCGTCACGCGACTCAATTGGGAGGGCAGAGCGGTTCGGTGGAGGGTAGCAGGGTCGACCCTCCGGATGGAGCAAGTTGCCCTTTCGAGGGTTCTATCAGGAAGGGGGTTGCGGGGCTCCAGTTGCAGTACCGCGAAGTGGTGGAGGGTGGGCAAAGGTCACCTGTGGACTTCGTCGTGCGTACCGTGCCAGAGGTGAGTCAGGTCTGGTCGCCCATTGCTGTGGAGCCATGCCGTGTCAATGATGAATGTACTATTAGAGAGGCACGAACTCGCGTTTGGTAGTATCTGTATTGCATTTATTCCGTTGGTGCTCGTGTGTTATTTAGTACAAGAGTATTGGGTCAGACCACGTTACTTGACCAATGCTAGACAGCAGTCTGGACCACCTCAGTCTTACTTGTCCGACGAGTCTGCTTCACCTGGCCGTGGTTCGTGCTCCATCTGGTCTTTTTGATGATACCTGACCGTACCTGACTTCGCCTTCTCGCCTCGGCACTCTCCCTCAAATGTCCAGGCTATTCGTGACATTGCGGACTGCGGCAAAGACGTCATCAGCACCGGTCACTCCACAGACGATCAGCATACGCGAGCAGCACAAGTGTTGGCGGCGATTGTTAGCGGCCTAACTTCAACACCATCGGAGCTCAGGGCCAACCATAGAGGCAGAAGAAGCGCTGGGGCATCGGTGGAGGGGGGCGGGGCGTCGGCTGCTGCAGCAAAACCTGCCGTCCAAAAGATCCGCGACTACCAGCTCCAGGTACAGCTAAAGAAGCGTTTCTCAGTTCGGAGTTTGTCGGTTTAACTCGGTTGGACCACCCGGAGTCGAACAGAACTGAAAACGAACATGGCGAATGCTGAACTGACGATGAACATGTGTATCTGTTTGGCAACCCGATGGTGTTATCGTCGCGTAGTGGTGCCTCTAATATTGGCATCAGGCGGCATGGATGTGATTCAGTACCGGGGGTCTTGTTTCCTCGCTTTTCGTTTGCGGCGGTTCGCATGCCTTCCACCATTGCCACGCATCCAAGGTGGGAGTGTTCGCCCCTCACGACCCCGCTTCTCTACCACTGTCTTTTGTACAGGCGCTGCTGCTCTGCCAAGTCAACAGCCTTGCCATGGACCTTCCCGAGACTCCCGACTCCCTCGTTGCCTTCTCTGCACTCGCTTCGGGAGAGATGGGCGACCCGACTGACGACAAGGGTAGAAAGAGCAAGGGCAAAGGGAAGCGGAAAAAGCGCAAGCGGAAAGGCGGGCCAAGCATACCAGCACGGCCGTCTGATCCACTTCCGGACTGCCGGCGTATGCGGCTCGTGGACTATCTGCAGCCCATCTCTACAATGCTCGATGCCTGCACGGTGACGAAGCCCCCCCCCCCTCCCGACGACGGTGGCAGAGCGAAGGTCGACGGGGGGGTGGGCAAGACGAAGGGGTTTGAATCTCGCGCTTATGACGGAACGCTTGCGGACTTCATGGGGCTCGCGCTTGTGGAGCACTTTGCAGCACGGTTGCCACGCACCCTGGGCGCGCTCTTCGACGACTTCGAATGCCACCCACCGGATGCGCTCACCACCGTATTGACAGGGGCACCACCAAGCGACAGCTGTCTTGATACCAGCGGAGCCATAGCAGAAGGGGGCGAGGTTGAGCAGGCATCCTCGAAGGGGACTGATGACGTTGTTGGTGGCTCGCACGCTGCAGCCGCTGGCGAGCTGTCATCATCGACAGCAGGTCAGGCGCGTTTCTCTATGTCAACACACATGCCCGCTATGTGGCTTTTACCGAGTGGCAAGCTGAGTACGTTTTTTCTGGCGTTTTCTTTGCGTGCTGTATCTTAGACCCGTCCCGCGAAATGGATCCGTGTCGCTGCATACACTCAACAGGAGGACCGCCTTCTAGCTGGAGAGGAATCTCGTCAACGGCTGGTATTCTACTGTCGGATCGAACAGCAATGTCCCACAACCACTTCAAAATGTCAGGCGTCCTCAACGGCTTCCGCGAGGTGAGGATATAATAGAGTATTATTGCTGATCCCGCGACCCGCATACATCCTTTGACGTGCTTGAACGACAAATTGTGTGTTTGGTGCACAAGGGGCACGCCATTTTTTCCATGTGAGGACGCCACGGTTGGGGTTCGACCGAGAGGTTAGAGTGTAGCGACTGGCTTATACCACACGGAAATATCGTCTTGGAAGGTTTTAGAGTAGTTTTTCCGCCCGTTCTGGGTACACCGAGCAGAAGTCAAGGGCTGAATCCCAACTAGCCGGTGCCCAGAGCACGCTTAATCACCGCCATAACTGCACCTGTACTTGATAGGTGAAGCTCAAGGGGCCCACCGCGCCCCGTGGAGGATTCCGCCAGAATGTTTTGGGAAGAGTGTCGGGGAACGACCAGGGCGAGCTTGCCGGGTCGGGACAAGACGGAGAATGGAGGAGGAGCAATGGCGGGGGTGGAGGTAGACGTGGTGGACGGTCACGGGCAACGAGAGACTCCAATCAAACATCAGGTGAAATGCCGTTTTTCTTCGTTTTTTTTTGGTACCACGAGCAATGTTTCCCAGAATGTTGGTCGATCGGAAAACTGTCAGTCACCGTGCAGCGAATATGAGGAGGCAACGTGAGGTAGCATGGGTTGGATATAGCGGTGCTTTAAACCACACGTGAGGTATTTGGTAGAAGACTGCCTGAAAGCCGTGTCCACCAAAAGTTTCGTTTTGTTTTCAAAGCCCTGAACGCTGCCGTATGCCTAAATGGTGGCCAAGCTATGTTTTCACGTCATTATCGGATGTCCCCTCACATCCAACAAGGAACGGGCGCAATCTAGAATCCCGCCCGCTTCAGGCATGTGACGTTCTCTTTTTGGGTGTTTCTCCCGTGCGTGCGAAGCAGGACCAGGGAAACACCCGCAATCGCCCGCTACTAAGCCTCCACCTATGGTGGGTGTTCGGCACTCTCCCCGGCTCAACCGCAAACGCCCGGGCGCTGACACCGATGAGAGTGACGTCGTTCGCACGATACCGGAGACTGCTGCCGCATCTGTATATACTCCAACTCGCAAGCGGCGACCGGCAGCCGCGGCCGTGGAAAATGACAGCGACATTGCTCGAACTGGAGGCGGCGTGCTCGTCGGCGAGACTCCTCGCAAACGGCCGGGGACTGGTGCCGATACCGCTCGTTCGTCAAGCCGGCGAGGTGGCCGCGCAGGCCCGACCGCAACAGCCCACAACGTCGCTGGCGCGGGACCCTCGTCGCCGGTCGCCTCGGGAACGGGCTCCCGAAAACAACCGTCGAAGAAAGAGGGAAAGATCATTCCCGAAGAGGCGCACATTCCCTGCAGTCCGGGCTTGCTGATGGCTTCGCCGGCAGCTGCCCCGACGAAGCGGCGACGCGCCACAGCCTCAGGGCCCGCGAGCCCAACCGAGAGTCTTTTCGTGGCGGAATCGCCAGGAGCTTCGACGGGCAGTGCGCGCCGAAGCGGGCGGATAGCATCGTCGGGTGTGGCCGCTGATCGGGACGGGGTATCTCGCCAGCTCATGGCGGAGAGCGCTGTTAGCCCGAGTGCAAGGCGCAGAGGGGGGGTGGTGCCGGATACGCCTGCTTAGGCCGATTCTTTCTCTCCTTCCGCGGAAGCTGTACAGTTGTGCAATAGGAAATGGCGTGCTTGGATGCCGCCGTCCAGTAAGACTATGGTGTTCGGTGTTAGGGCTGCTTTGACGACCGGCTGTTTGGCCTGTTGCCTTTCGTGTATGTAGAAGCAAGCTCGTTTTTCGCGCGCTATCGGACGGATTTTACGATACCTTTACTCTTGTACAATACTCAGGGTATCACCTGGGACCCGAAACCGGTGATGTTGTCTTATTGTGGTCCTTCAAAAGTGGAACGAAGATAGATCGACCCGCTCTTCTTTGTCCTGGGTGCAGTCTGGTTGTGCTTGTCGTGGAATTGGTGGTTGCGATGCTGGTTGGTGAGCGCATGTGGGTGTCCTCTCGGCGGTGTGTGATCAACCCTAACTCAGAGTACCCATGAAAACCTGAGCGTTTTGTGTCGAGGCGGTTTGACGTTGCCCTAGAGGTGGGAATGGGTTTGACAACATCCAACCACAACGCAACAAACCTCAAAAACGCCAAAAGCAGCAATGGGACCTGGTGATGACGCCCTTGCAAAGATCGTTGCTCGGTCCCGTGCCTCTGCTGACCGGTTTGGAAACGAAAATTACACCACTACACATCGCCGAAAGCCAATTCAACATCACAGGGAAACCGGGAAACCATTCAAATCTATGCACCCGTTGGTAAGTAGGCCGCCACTTTTTGTGTCTTCGTTTTTCATACACAGAGGAAGCCCGTCACCGCAATCCACACAGCTTATCCCAACGCTCGTCTACTGCATGTAGCCCTGAATGCCGCTGGTGACCCCTCACTTGATATGTACGCCCTTGCACGGCCCTTTTGAACCTTGGGGTCAGGTCAACCGCACATCATTACCGAACATGGGACAACACGTCAACCTCAACAGGGCGCAGAAAGCATACACTAACTAGGGGAACATGACCTTCAAGCGGCAACGAAAGAATCGCAAATTGTACCCACCTGGTGCCTGCACCCCCTTGGTCTCGGGACGCATCTGCAACGATTTCTATCACAGCGTTCAACTATTTACTGTACAAAACATGCTAAAAACGACCCAAACCGCTGTGCAACGAAAAATTTACACGCTCTAGTTTGTAGGAGCCTTGGTTACACTTTGATAGTAACTCTTTGGGACTAACCGATGTTGAACGTAGCAAGGCTAGGTTGCTCATCCCACATCTACCCTAACCCTCACCCTCACCCACGGCCAAAGCACGGCCTAGCGGCCGCGAACTGGGCGGCACGCGGCTGCGCCGCGTGCTCGGAATGCGGAACGGGGAGAGGGCGCTGGAGAGGAATCGGCCGCCAGAACCAACGCCGAACAACGCCCGACCAATCAGAACGCGTTAGTCCTAAAGATCTACTATCAATGTAAACACTTCTCGTTTGTAGGGCAAAGACGTACTCGAAGCACGGTGTTGACGCATGACTCGTCGACACTCTATCCCGATATCATCTGCCGAGCTTCTTGTTGTATCAGCAGCGGTATCGTAGCCCTCACGTGGCATACAAAAAGGAGGGAACAGCACGGATGGCTGTTGTCTTCCTCTTACCCAAACCGCAGCAATAAGCTTTTGGTGTCCTGATGCGTATCGTGCGACTTGGCACGGTTCCGTACGTGCAACCACAAAGCAAGTTGCGCACGCACGCGGCTCATACGGTGTGTCGTTGGGGATGCACGCGCGCCTCACGTACGTTTCCGACGTGCTCCAGACTGATGCAATCTACGCTAGCTCAAGTGCTATTTCATGAGGTTTGAGAAAGGCCACAAATGGCGGTGCTCCTTGATTGGCCTCTGCAAAGCCGTTGCAAAGCTCAGCCAAAAATTGGCAACGGCCTCACGAGTTCCTGCACAATCATGCCGGTGATGCCAATCATCTACACGCACATGTTTTGGTTCAACAAGGAGAGGCACGAGGGACGTGGGTGAATCAATTTGGAAACGATATCCAGGATGATTGCAGGGTAGGATCATTGCCGGCGACGGATCATCAGTAGTCTACGCAGCAAAATTGATTAAGCAAAAGTATGGGATAAAGTATTCAATCCGTGCTTGGGGTTAGGGTTAGGGTTAGGGATAGGGTCTGCGTGCCCCCTCCCTATTATTTTTCTAGATACTCTTATAATCCTGCGTAGGCGGTCCCGGATCATGCAGACAGCGCCATACCTTGAGAAAGCCACGGGACGTGTGGAATGCGTCATGCTGGTGATTCGTTTTCGGCTTGGAGGCTCCAGGAAGAACTAAAGCGCCTGGTACGCTTTCGCCAGCACTCACTTGCTGAGGCTAATCCCCGCAAAGTGTGAGCTGAATGTGACACCTGTTGCCATCTCACCCACACATTACACACAAATCCCAAAAGACGTGCGCATGCACACCCAGACAAGGATCCAATATTTGCCTGCCTTGCACAAATACGACGATCAACGACGCACACCACCAACGAATGCGCAGCTTGGCACGAAACACCACACAGCTGCCGGTCATGCTACATGTGCACTCACAGCGAGGCGTCCGTGGTTGAGCTCCTTCGTCTTCATGACGTTGAGTTCATGCTCATCTTCTGGAGCAAGCCCCAAAGGATCGAATCCAAGGTCTCCCGGAACGTAGTCTAGTCGCATCCCGCCTTCTCCCGTCACAGGATCGAGCTCGGCAAACCCGATGTTTATTTGGCGGTATTCCAGCCAAGCAATTGCGAGCAGGGTGAGCGCCCAGAACTGTTGCCGTAATCCAAGATTTTTTTGGTGCATGTATGGGCAAGTGCGGCGAAACGACAGGCTAGCGTTGAGAACAGCAAGAAACACCCACGACCCCCCACAGATGGTGAGGCGTTTGCCGGTTGGGTGTATGGGGTCTAGATGCACACGCCCGTGGCAGGAGGAAAGACGCAGATGTATATAGTCGTTTCTCTCGTTCATTTTTCGTGAGTCGGCAGTGCATCACTCGGGCGCAAAATTCTGAAGTTGCCAATCTACGGTCACTACGGGTACGAGAGAGGGGCAACCCAAAATAACCTCAACCTGGTGGCCCAAGGAACAGTCAAGACGAACGTTTCAATATTTGGCCACCGCGATTCTTGTTCATCCGCCAGTTGTCTTCCTGCCTGCCGCACCTGGGGAAAGCGCGCCGTGATTTCCTCGAAGTGAAAGATGGCGGGGCCAATGTAGTCAGGCCCGAGGAACAATGGATGGAAATTCTGAAAGGCGAGAATCGGACGTGTGCGTAGGGAAAGCGGTGGACCAAAATAAGTGCATCACGTTCGTCATCGAGGGCACGAGAGCACAGCAAGAGAGTGGCCACGGGCGGCCTCGCCGGCACGCAGTTGTACGGCATGGCCGCCAAGACTCGACTGGCTGGAATTGGAATTCATTCCCTGGAGAAGTAGCGTTGTCTAGAGCGAAATTTACAGCTAGACGTACTAGACGGTTGCGGGCTTTGAGAATTGACTTGTTCGCCAGCAAAGAGTAGCCGCAAAAGCGAGAAAATTGAGTCCTCTTCAGGGTAGCTTGTTCGCAGTCATGCCACGAGCTTCCTCCGGCACCGGGAGCTGACAAAAAAACCAAGCTGAAGGGACCCCTCCAGAAAAAAAAACAAAATGGAACATCATCCAGTGCTTTTGTGTGCTTCTCTCGAAGGAGCTTAACGATACGGACAACAGCAGCAACTCGTACAGAGCTCTAGGTTCGTGGCTACTGCTGCTACAGTATTCGACGAACCAATAACAGCACTAGAAGTTGGAAAAAACCATGGACAGCTCACCTCCGCAACGAGGACTCCGACGGACGCTAGCATAGCCTGCGGAAAAGTAAGCAAAACGAACATTGAAAGGCAGGAAGGGGTGGGTCGGATCGTCGAAGTTGCCCTGTGTCGCCACCACATTCTGCTGCCATGACAAGGGTACCATCGCATAGAACAAGAGTAAAAGGAGGATTAGATGTACCAGCAGACGCCATGGATGTGCATCGACAACAGCAGTTGACCGAGATTTGCAGAAAAAATAGCAGCAAACACAGTAGCAGCACCGGTTTCAAGCGAGACAGCACTCGCACACACACGGGCATTGCTACAGCAATAAAGTACGGGTAACACGTTCTCACCACGCGCCCGTGCTTGATCTCTGCTTCACGCCACTTCTTGATGTCTTCGGGGTCTGCCTCCGATGACAGACCAACGGGATCCCACACTTTCCCATCCGCAAATGGAGCTGCAAGCAAGGCAAATGTGTTTTTATGGCGAGCGAGAGCGAACCGGTGTAGTGCATTCTCAAGATCTTCACAGGTTCAAAGCCGCCACCAACAAATCTCTTTTATGTCCTTACAGGCGGCTAGCGGCAAAAGATGCCGCGAACAATTGAGGAGAACGCATTTTGCAATGGACGCAGACCTTCCTTTCACCACATTCGGTGGCACGAGCCTCGCTTCTCGCTCGGTAGTCTAGGAGGTGTGTACCGTAGAGCACAGCACCGTACATGCCTCCGCGGGACACGTCGACTTGAGCGTAATTTCATGAAGACCACGACACTATAGGTACGGTCGCTTGTATGCATAGCATCTGCAGATTTCAAGAGCATGCTCTCCCCCCGAAAAGAAACCCCTAATGGCAAAGTTATTGGTTTTCCTGTCTCTATCTCGCCCACCTCCAGGGAGTGTAGACACGTAGTCCGAGCCAGCCGACATTCTTGCGGCGGTTGACGTTGGTCGAGCCGAGAGAGTTGTCGGTGTAGGCACGATGAAGGCCTCGCAAGAAGCAAAGCACCAACTGGCCATGCCCACCAGTGCACCGGTAGAAGTAACCATCACGCACCTATGGGGGGGGTGTAGGGAGAACGGACATGTATCAGTTCGCTATTGTGGTTGCTTCTGCTTTGATTTCTCTGGCGGGATCGGCTCTTTCTCGTGCTCCTTCTGGGGGCACGCATAGAGTCTCGTCGGTACACTACCGCGCGCATCTGGAGCTCGCCAGGCATCCGTGCCATGTGCGCTCGACGACTAAAGTCGCGGGGACTGGCTCTGTTTCCCGGGGAATGTTTCCGTGAAGAGAAAGCTCGGCAAACCAAGGCTACACCCGCAAGAGTCGCCCCATTTGCGGGTCCTAAGAAACGAACAGACGAGAACTGGTTTGAAATAGCCCGTTCGTTGAAAACATGTATCTCGCCGCCAACGACGAACACAAATGAAGCTGCTCAATTGCACCCACAAACCTACCCATGTTACTTCTTAGGCATCTCATCTTCCGTCATCCCGGGGAGACCTGAGCCATGTATCACATACAACCATACCCGCACCAACAGGTCAAAGTTAACGCAGTACGGGGCAGCACTCACATCTGGGGATTAAGGCTATGTCTGCCTCGCCCGACACTAATAGCGGTCCACGACGGATGTTGGGAAGGGATACATGCAGACCCGAGGAAAACGAGTTCGAATCAAGGCTGGCACACTGCTGTTTTCATTTGAGACTTCGTCCCAGATATTTGGCGTCAGTCTACTATACACGTTCATAAAGGTATACTACTTGTATTTAACCTATCAGCGGGGGTCACAACCCTCGCGCTAACACCTTAAAACTTTAAATGTCAATGCCACCACAGAATTAAACCTCCTAGATGGTGACGTGTCAGTTGACCTATCGTCTACACCTTAGGGGTATTGCCACAGAATAGAGCCAGCTGGACACGCCGAACCCGCGTTCAGCAGTACAAGGACTTTTACTTTTCCATCCAGCTGCCTCCCTTGCACTCTACCCTCGACCCGTATAGTTCCCGTTTCTTAACATCCCTCGCTCTCTCATGAAAGGGCGAGTCTGGTGTGTACTCCACGCCAAACACGAAAGAACATGAGCTGTAGCGTAGACCATGGAGACAACTACAGCAGTACCGTCTGATATCTACTCTCAGCAGCAGATTTTACACTCTGTTAGTGACTCTTCCTATCTCAGCTGTTTCACGCCGTCTGATTGGACAGGCGTTGGTTCCTAGCCTTGACCCTCTCCAGCGCCCTCTCACCGTTCTCGCCCAGTTCGCGGCCGCTAGGCCGTGCGTTGGCCGTGCGTTGGCCGTGGGTGACGGTTAGGGTTAGGGTTGGGTTGGTTAGGTCGGCCACGGTGTGTCCTAGCCTTGCGCGGTGTGCCCTAGTCTTCAACACCGGTTAGACCTAAAGATCACTAACAGACCGTAAATAGACATCTCTACTCTTTACATCGAATACCTAATCTGACTGAACGTTGACTGCTTTCGATTTTCGCGCTACTACACTCATACCAACGACCAGCGACAACCCAGGCCAACGTTGGAAAAAACCGTAAGCTCTACGGTCGTTCTGCGAGCACTGCCAATTGGCATTGAGAGCAGCTACTTGTTGTAGTTAGTGCTACTGTATGCATACTGAGTGCTACTGTATGCATACTGCTGTACATATGTGAGGAAAAATTATACAAACACAGACTACCCGTTCGAGATACACCCAGAGTTGAACGGGATGGTGTATTGTACCGTAGGTTGCGTAAGATACCACGCCCCCTAGGCCGATTATCAAAGCTCGATTTCTCGGCATGAAACCAGTGACGGCGCCGAGAATGGCGGCGTTGTAACCGTCTCATGGAGAGCTTTCCCAAAACATATCATTTGAACTCGGCATGCGCTTCGTCGAGTAAACGAGCTTTGAAAATCTGTCCAGGGGGTGTGGTATCTTATGCAACCTACGGTAGTCATGGCTTCTTGCGAACATGCGCAGATATGTACCTGCTGTGAGAACCAATGTTGGAAGAGAGATAGACTACAACTGCAGAGATGGGTCGTTGGACTTTCAGTAGGCTACATGCTGGTCTTACGGTCTTACCCATCTTTTGCAGCCTTCGAAGTCCGGGCGTTGATCTACCCGTCATCCTACAGAGTAGCGACGTTTGAATTGACGTTGAATCGACTTGAAATCGGCTTTATTCGAGGACAGAACATGTACCTCTTACAAATACTGCTGTAACAAAATTGTCAAACATACTTCAAACATGTATCATTTGGCCTTAAAACTTGCCTACAACACTACTCGTACTCACCTCTTTAAGATAGCATTCGAAGTTTCGGTATGGAGTAGACGCAAGGCGGCTAGGCGGGCGAAGTGGACTTGCTAACTTGCGGGTGAATCGAGAAATTGGGTTTCTGGCATTTCTGGCGGCGTGTCGGCGTTTGCAAACTGCGGGGTGCGGGGTTGCACAGGGCTGGGCGTCACGATGTTCACAGGTGTCAGGATTAGCTTGTAGGTTATTCGCGGCTTTCTAAGTGCTCCACGCGGCTATAAAGCTCCGCGTGCGCTTCGCTCACCGTTGCCGTTTTAGACAGTGAAGCGCGAGAGTTTTTGATCTGCCGTTTTGACTGCAATGTGGGATCTCGCCAAAATACCTGCACGGTTCCGTACCTGCAACGAGGAAGGGGGGCTCCAGAGGCCAGGACACTTTTTCACTTTTTCCGAGTAAGGAAACGTGATGATCATCTCTGATCTTAACCGTTGTCTAACATAGACTGCTATCCCAGTGCCAGATTGGAGTCGCCCTAAAGAGACCCATGCACCGCTGCGTGTGTTGAGCATTCACTTGGTTTTTGTAGAATGCGACAAGAGAAATGGTTGCTCTCAGTTGGCCGTTGGCGTTATTGACAACGCGACGGCAAAAAATCCTTGATCCACACGCGCGCGAGAAGGAGAACACGAAAACTCGCCCATGCGATGGTCGTGCTTGGACAAGGAAAAAAAACAATGGAATCGCAAATAATCTTCGAGCGTACAGCAGTGTAGAGTCATTGACAGGTCTCTCTTTGTGAGCAATCTGTAAGGCGACATTTACATCGAACTCGCGTCCTTCGTGTTGCACACACCGGCACTCTCGACCTCGATACAATGTATAACATAAACAAATCCCCATTGATCCCTCAAGGCTCCAAAACCGAAACATCAGTCGCGTCAGAGGAAAAACTCAAGGCGAACGGTATCATCTATCGTTGTCCAGCAGAATAGGCCACTCCCGAAGCAAGTCTGATTGTAGGACACACGACGCACAGCCAACGGCAGGCTACGTCTTAAGTAAGTTCAACTTCATGGCCGCTGTATCGGCACCGCTGTTGGTTACCACCGAACACCGCCATGCGCCGAGGACAGATACGCGCTTTACGACACGTTCTGCGGTATGCAGGGGCGTAACCTGCCTCTCCGGTTGTCGGCCCTCTTCTTTTCGAAATGTGTTGGCTAACTCGAGTTGGATAAAACATATAACGATATAACTAATCTCAAGGCCCGTTCGAGGTGATCAGGTTATCACGCCGCGGACTTAGCCTCCTCTTTCCTCTTTTTGGCTTCTTCTGCCTTCCGCCGCCTCAGGACGTCGTAGTTGTACAAGCGCGCCATGTTCACCTCCACGGTGATGCTCTGGTTTCGCAAAAACTCCAAGTCTTCCTGTGTTGTTTTCTGTAGGACACGAACGCCGCGCACGGTATGGGGCACGACATCAAACTGAGGAACCTCAAAACAAAACCCCAAGCCGGCTTTGGCGAGCAATGACTGTCGGAGTCTGCTGCTTTGTTCGGCAGCGCTACTGCATCCGTACAGGGCAATGCGAACGAACCGGATGAGGACAAGCTTTACGCTGATACTTATATAGTACGCTCTAGCCCCAGAGTCACGTGTCGGGGAGTCGAGGGAGAAAGACTGGAGTATGCATACATGAATTAACCGGCGATAGCGTATGCACCAGATGAAACAAAAAAACAAGAGGAATCGACTGGCATGCTCCAATCCATGCCAACTGCACGTCCGGCTGCCGCTCGACAACACCCGCATTGGCGACGCTACAATCTGTGCTCCCATCCATAAAGGTTGCTTGTGGGGGCAAGGCGACACTGCACCGCCTCGACTACCGCGTAACCAATAGTAACACAGCGTAGGCATACCACGAAAAAGAAAGTATGTTGACCACCTCAACAGGCTTTAACTCAGATGTGATACATGATTTATCCTCAAGGCAAATGCTCACTTTTTTCTCCAGGGCAGTCGCCAAGTTTCTCTCGAGCAACTCCAGAGCCTCCTTGTATGTGTACTCCACCATCACCGATGCCTGAAGAAACACGGGCCCACCAGACCCACGCCAAGCCAATACCAAACGGAACACATCAATACATGGTGTGATTGGAGTATGAGGGGTCCGATGAACAGCAGCGGTGAGCTTGTTTGAATGTTCGAATACTGTATGGAGCTGAGAGAGTGCAGGAGTGATCATGCAGAAGCGCACACCTATACTTTACCGGAATCTGTTTTGAATAGATGTAGTCGGCGAGAAACGCCAGCATAGTGTAGCATGGGGTTTAATGTCCACCTGGCGTTATTTCTAAGCGAAAGATGTTTATTTTAATTCATAAACCATAAGCAAGCGCTCGCACCCAAGGCAGCGGATTGTTACCATCGTATGCTACAGCCGATTGCACAACGAACCCAACACGCTTGAACACATGTAACGATACACCCACTGCTGGGTTCAAACGTTCAAACGTGCTTTGCTAGAGCTTCATTCGCCGCTGCTCAAGAATACACTCACCCCAAGCCAGATGCATACCCGGCCGTCACACTTAAGTTCTGCTTTTGCGAACACTGTGTCGGCTAGGCTATAGTTAGTCTTGACGGTTTCCTCCTTGTCCTGACAAAGAGAAAGGGAAGCAGTTATGTGCGGGAAGCGAATTTGTCGGAATAAACCGGAAGTAGGCACATACGCGAAATAATGCAGCACAACATCATTTTGAACATGGAATTCCAACCACATTTTATCATCTTGAGACCCCGAGATGTCTCGACTCTCTACTACGACAGATATCACAAAGGATTACGAAGCATGTTAAATATAGTGACAATCACTACAGTGTGTTCCTGTCAATACTTATGCATGCCATACCTGTCGTTCCTGGAGGTGCCTGACGAGCTCGAGCGAGCGCTCAATTTCGGGCACTTTGTCCTTCATGGACTGCTTGGCTTTGTCCATGTTGCTCTCCATCAGCTTGTACTTGCTGCGCAACAGAAAGGGACAAGAGTAAATAGATGGGCGAACTTAGCAAAGACAAAAAAACGATCCCCATTCAAACAGTACATAGCTCTCGAAGTGGAAAATCTATACAGCTCTCGAAGTGGAGAAAATCCACTTCAGCGTGACCCCAGTGTGAAGCCAATGAAGTACGATTGTGCGGGGAAAAACATGGGATGAAACGCACGAAAACAAGGACGAAATGTCGTCGCTGTCGCTGAGTGAAACCATCCAAAGTGTTTGTGCTGCTGTGGTAGATGCGCCGCTTTTCGTTTGTGGCTTTGGACTGAGCCTTAAACTACGGCATAAACACATTTAGATACCAAGTCATCGCAGACACGCGTTGGTCAGTACTTGTCATACGCATGCCAACAAGCCGAACAGGCACCTATAGACCAGGTGGGAAACAACTAAAACTCCGTTTGACTTTCGGATGGATGAAGATTCTGCAGGCTCAGCACCATGCTGTACAGACGAGCTCATGCTACAAGTAGTCAAGAGGTACGGAGAAGCGTGCTCTATTGTAGGTTGGGTTCCGCCACGATACCGGCAACGCACGGAATGTCTGAAGGTATACACGGGATGGGTCGAAAGGCGACACGCGCACGTGGAAGGTTCGACTGCAACCGAGCACTGATGCAACCCCCACCTGTAGAGCTCGTTGAAGGCCCCGATGGGAGTTTCCACCTCTTCTACACCTAGTCGCGCCAGGAATTGGACGACATCATCCTGACAAAAGACGGAGTAGGGAAAAGCGTGCGCGAAATATGCGATCACTATTGAGTCTATTTACCTTGTTGAGAGCACGTCCCACGAGGCAAAGGGCCACCCGTGGTTTGAGTAGGAGTGAGCTTGCTGTGCATGGATATTCTACGGCAACGTCTCCGACCGTGAGGAGGGAAAAGGCCCGCTATGATGTTCTTTACGTCTCACGGATTTACAGAGACAGGGTTTTACATGCATGGCGTAGAGCACACACGACAACAGCAGTTTGCTGGCTTGCCCAAAAACAAAAAAGGGGAATTGACAATATGGGGTATACCCCACGTGTTTGGGCACAAAATGGGGTTACTTTTTTTCGGTGTGGGGCGCAACGCCTGACGCCGCGTAGGCGCCTGTAAACCGCCTTCCAGCGCTTCAGCCCCATGCGCCAGGTCCTTCGAAAGGACGCCCAACCTTTTTTTTGCTTTTCACCTACAGGAACAGCGTTAACTACTTGTAGGGCCTGGAAGAGGGGAGCTTGTTGGAGGACCCCATTTTGTTCACGAAACGGCGGGGTGCACTCCCCGGTCTGCTAAAAGTTTATCTAGTACCCCATTTTGTTCACAAACGTACCCCATGATGTTCAAGGCATACACCTTGTTGTTCAGTGGTGACGCTCCTGCGGACTGCCAAAATGGCAACCAACAACCAACCGCAGACCACCCTATCTCTGTATCTTCTGTCTCCTTGCCACGCTGCAGACCACAACAAAGCCTGTATGTTGCACCGCAGACGAACATACCCCAACACCTTCTGTCGCCACACCTACGGTGGACTGCGGTTGATTGTTGGTTGCCATTATGGCAGTCCGCAGGAGCGTCACCACTGAACAAAGAGGGGTATGCCTTGAATGAACATTGTGGGGTACGTTTGTGAACAAAATGGGGTACTAGATAAACTTTTAGCAGACCGTGGGGTGTTCCCCGCCGTTTCGTGAACAAAATGGGGTCCTCCAACAAGCTCCCCTCTTCCAGGCCCTACAAGTAGTTAACGCTGTTCCTGTAGGTGAAAAGCAAAAAAAAAGTTCGGCGTCCTTTTTAAGGACCTTGCGCATGGGGCTGAAGCGCTAGAAGGTGGTTTACAGGCACCTACCCGGCGTCAGGCGTTGCGCCCCACACCGAAAAAAAGTATACCCAATTTTGTGCCCAAACACGTGGGGTGTACCCCATTTTGTCATTTGTGCGAAGGTGTACCGATTCTGGTAAAAGTCAATCGACGGATACCCTGCGAATCGGGTCCTCCCTAACACTCTCCACCCACAGAATTTACCCTAAACTGGGAACCTCTTGTGGCCAGGAAGGGTAATTCGATGGAAGCGTCACACGGTTCTTTGTAGGATCGACTCCAAGACGGTGCTCTCAGGACCGACACACATTTGTGTCCACATGGAAAAATGTCCAAGTCAGGAGAAAAAATGTGCGCCCAAGTAGATTCGGATCGAGAGAAGGTGTACCGATTCTGGGAAAAGTCAAAGTGTTCAGGAGTGTGGCTGGTAGCATGAATAGGGTACATCTTATTGTTGATAGGATGTGGGTTGGTCAGGAGGTGACCCATAGCCCCTTAGAATTGTCTACTCTGTGTGCCCCCTGAGATGAAGTTGGATCCCCACTCCATCTCAGACCCTTGCTGATCGTCTCTCAGCTATAACAAGCAACTTTCCCATCCCTACGTGGTCGTGGGCAAGAGTGTCAACGACAGAACCTTCATCTACCTCTAGGAGCAAGCTACCGTTCACGGCTTCGCCTCCTTTAAACTTGGCGTCAGCGGCAGGATCCAGCCACACTCTTTAACAATTGCAAAAAAAAAACTACTATTATAATAGGCCAATGACCAATGGTATAAGATCCTTCAAGACAAAAAACGGCAAAATCAATTGTTGTATCTAGACGACGGCAGTCATTTACTGTAGCTTTGCCGCGACACTCTTTCCTCATCGTCGATGCACACCCCAGTGTCAACTTGAGAAAGTCTGCAGCTCTTTCGCCCGAACTGCACATGAACTACAACTGCATTTGATCATACGGGTGAATGTACAGCTGCAAACACGAGAAGCAAGACGGCCAGAGAACTGAACCATTGAGCGCGCAAAGGACATCGAAAAAATATGGTCTAAATGGAACAGCTGTAGTGGGTGTATAAAAGCTGTAAGCGCTTTGTCCAGTTCGAGCGAGATATGCATATGTGTTGCCATGGTGGGCAAAAAGGTGGTCGTCCGAGTCGCGCGCGTGAAAAACGTAATATCCACCTACATTAGTGGAGTGACGAAGGAGGAAACCATTTGCTTCGAGAAAAGGGGATGTACTGGTAGAAACGGTAGAGCCAGAGGATTGGTTGAATACTCTGAGCCCCAACGGATCAAAGTGAGTGTTTTACAGGATCACAGCCGTACATTGCATAAGATACCACACACCCCCGCGCAAATCTAACAAGCTTGATCGCTGCGCGGCGAAAAAAGGCGACCATGCCGAAAATGGCGTCGTTGAGCCCGTCTCACCCAGACCTTTTCGAGAACATGTTGTAATTTACCATTTAATTTTGACATCCGTTTCGAGGTGGAAAATCATATTAAGACGTTTGAAACGGGTCGGTGGGGCTGTCCTTGGTACAGCAGTATGCTCTAAAATCAAGACATCGCCCTTTTACTGCGCAAAAACAACAAACTGCGTGTGTTGTGATTTTGGTGTGGGAAACCACCCACAGCGATGATGCTGCAATTCCTAAAAGCCCTGGGTCTGATGACGCTGCTTTGAGCTCTAAACGGCAACCGTCAATGTCATGAGATAGAGGAGTACGGCGGTTGGTTGTCTCGAAGGAACGCCAGACGCACTCACGATGAAGACCACTTCCGGGATCCCGCGCGGATTCTTGCGCGTGACCAATAATGCTGTGTCCACTTCCTTCTCGGGGGCTGCTTTCGCCATCGCCATCTCCGACATAGTGTGCAAGCGTCCTCCTTTCAGTTACTGCTCACTGTTGGCCAGCGGCTGGGGCGAGAGCTGCTATCTCTCGCTGCTGGCTCGATGGACGTGCTGGCCGTGTCTGGTGTGCGGTTCAAAATCGGAGCGAGAGCGGGGGGGGGACGGTGGAGCGGAGTGGGGTATTCCCGCATACCTTCCAAAGCGCACTCTGGAGCGTGCACAGCACATTTTTTTCAACATTTTTGTTGCGCTTCGAAGATTATTGAAGCAACCACGCCCCAACCTCTCGTGCAAGGCCTGTAATAACACACCCACCCAAGTCCAGTCTCCGGGAGGAGCTGTAAATTCTCTCAATGGACCATTAACAGACGGCGTGTAGTGGTGATTAGGAAAAATGATTACACACACAGAAAGACTACCCCATTCGAGATATACCCACGTTCGAACGGGATGTATGTGGTGGAGTAACACGAACGAACATTGGAAGGAATGTGTACATGACTGTGTGTACAGTACGTCGAGGATGGGGCGTGCGCCTATGTATGTAGAGCTAAAGCACAATAATATGTAGTTCCCTCCGTGTGTAAGGGGTCGTATCCGAGAGCGTCGTGCCCGAGATACAGGTGCGCACGATCGTGTACCTCATTGCATGCCGAGGAAAACGACATAGATAGATAGTCTAGACAGGCAGATGCCTGCGCCATCCGGAGAGCCATCTACTGCAATATTATGATGACAGAGTAATACACATCAGCACGTCATTTGTGTGATCCAAAATGTATTGTCCCGACTTCTGTATCTCTATCTTCTTCGAAGGCCAAGAAATATGCGCACAACAATACTTGTATATTTGTAACACAAATAAGATTGGGATGAAGATATAGTCTAGTCTAATAAAATATGTATGTATTTAATTTGGGGTGACACTGTGTGTTTATTTAATCAATTAATTGTTTTTGGTTTTGGGGAGACGATGTATGGAGGCAAGATCAATTGTTTCGGGCGCAAGCGCCTTGCGGTCGACGCTCTTTGGCCATGTGCAAAAATCGCCAAAGTTGGGGGAACGGAACTCAAGGCGGGTGAGTCTGTCCCCTAGCGCACACAACACGCGGCCCACTCTTCGATACAACTTGTGGTGAAAAACTCCTTTCTCAACAGCAAAAAAACAACGAATAGCCTTGGTGCCAGGTGTCATGCAGCCCGGCTTCTGTATTAGCGAAATCGTGTACGGAGGAACAGTTCTTCTACGAATCCTCTCACACTTGCCACTGCTGCTCTGGAAAATTTAATTAATCAATACAATCTCAAGTAATTAAGCAATTTTCGGCTTTTAGGAGACGATAACTACTATAGGAGACGATATAACCAAACCATTGTTTAAATGGCAAGACTGTTTCGAAACACGTCGAGCCAGGGCACGCCCAATTCACTTGCCGATTATTTCACAACGTCCATGGACATTGGTGGAGGCGGTGATGGGAGACGAAATCGGCAGGCGAAAGGTCCCTCCCCACAGCGCATTGGCTATTTGGAGCGGCTTTGCAACAAGCGGCTGGACCTGATCCATAAATAAAGTCTGGGCGACAGCCGAAAGCATACTACGCAGATACATAGTTCGCGCCCCCACTTTCAGGGGAAAAGAAGAAGAACCGTCATTCTGGTATCGAAGCCCTGTTCAAACTAAACTATAAACCAACCACCATATATTACCTTTCTCCTCCTGGTCAACCCCGTGCCGCCTCCCCTTACGCCCGTGCACATGCACGAGGAATCAATGTGTTCGTGTGCCGCCATATTTTTCATGCCAACAAAGTTGCCAACGATTGAAAAGTACACCCCCAACACGCCGCCGTGATGGTGTTGTTATTTTCTATTTGCTGCTTTTGGGGTGCAGAGCCAACCGACGATGTACTATCTACAAGCATACTGCTTCCCTTCCCTTAAGCCTGACGGCCAGAGCCAAACGGCCGTAACAAGCTAGATTCACAACCATCAACAAATCACACTTACAGAAAACAGACGCCCAAGTGTGAGCGAGTAGCGAACCGACCGCAATCAAAAATCAAATACCAAGCGCGACTGAGGCGAAAGACTCGCCCCATGCTGATAGTTGGCTAAAGACAAACGAGGAACATCGGAGATAGTTCAACAACCTTCTGCTCACACAAGCAAAGTCCTTCGAACGTCGTACTCATGTCAACAATAGAAAAATAAATCCCTGCCATACGCAAGAATACTAAAAATACACTCACACACCATATCACCCATCTTCGACGAAACGTTCGGCCGAAAAAACAGATGTCGTAAACTGCTGTGTGTACCGCTACAGGACGGCACACACGCACGCATCAATCAACAACCAAACACACATTGTCGACCGAACTTTCCTATCTGCAAGCCCGATAGAGTGTCTAGGAGTCAAAGTAAAACGTATCGTCTCCGCCATGGCGAAATACGCAACAATATTCCAACACGAGCACCCCTAAAGCCTCATTCGCGCGCATTTCCTGGGCGCTTCGTGCTACGCTAAAAACTGAGCCAACCAGCCAAAACTTCCCTACCTCTCACATTCGTGTATCAACTCCACCAAGGATGAAGTTGTTTCCAGCGTCCGCGAATCGACAATATCTATGGCGCAAAAATATACCAACGCTTAAACGTTTATCTCGGAACGACTGCTTTCACAGTTCTCACCGGAATGGCGAACAAAATTGTGCCGCAACAGCACCGTCTGCACTATTTTAGTTGAAGACCGTGAGCTGCCCGGTTTCCCAGGAGAAGCTTCTGCGGCAGTCGGCCTTTCTTGGAGTGCAGGTAGTGAGCACGTCGTTGCCCTCGCCCCCCAACCAATGTAACGAAGCTCAGCAGCCTAGGCAGCCGCAGCGAAACTGACGCAATGTCTTCGCGGTACCTCCCGCCGTTCTGAACAGCGCCGATACATAGGCAAACACGACGGTTGTGCAGTGGGCAATCCGATGATTAGAAGAACGGACACAATATTTACAATGAGGGGGGAAAGGTGGCGTCAAGTCGCCAAAAAACAGATTGCAACACACAGGTTTCGATCGACAAAGCGAAGGTGACACGAACTTACTACAACCTCCAAGAATTAGTGCGTACCTTCTTCAGGTAGCCGACGGGTGATTGTCCCAAGCGCGCATTGGCACAGGCGCGCGAACGCTGTCGCCGTCAGCCCAACGCGCGCGCTCTCCCTCCCTGGGGAAATCCCACGGGCTGGGATAGGCTGAGTACATGGACGAGCTGGGCTTGGGATCGAAGTAGCGGAGGCGAAACGGCGGGGCGGCCGCGGCCGCCGGGCCACTGGCCATGCTGGCGCTGGTGCTTCCGTGAAAATCCGGAGACACCCTCGGTCGTCCGGGCTCGAGCGGGTCGTTGGACTGCAACCTCTCCCGCTTGAAAAGGGGGTATGGGTCACGCTCGGAGCCAGGTTGAGCTGCAGGGTAGAAGAAGGGCCTCGTGTCCCCCGACTTGGCGTGGCGGTCTGGTACGGGTACGGGGTAGGCAGCGTGCATTGGGTCAGCGCGGGACAAGGTTGATGAAGTTTACGCTCGTCCGGGACAAGCATAACATGGAGAAACGGACGAGACATCGATTGGTGCATGCATGCCATGAGTTTTCGTCCTCACCTAGCTCGGCGTTAGAATGAGACGGCCCTCGGCCGGCGATAGGCCTTGCCGTGCCGCGGTGGGTGTTCTCGGGTTGTCCGGCTTGCTGATACGGAGCACGGCCGGGAACATGGCCATTCCCTCGCGGCAAAGAAGTTCCGGCGGCTTCACCGCCGACGCTGAGAGCGCGTTCCCTGCTAGCGAGCATAGCGAGGTGCGCCAGCCCCTGCGCCGCTTCGTGGATGCTCGGGATGGACGCCGACCTGCTCGAGGAGTAGTCGTACGGCGAGTTGCCCGCCAAGTCTCCCACGGAGGAGCCCCGCTGGGAGCTTCCCGAGCTCATGTACTCCTTGTCGTCCTCTCTGTGGTGGGAGAACCAGATTGTGCGGCTTAGTGGGCATGTACTTCGGCTCGTGAACACATGCACCACTCACCTGCTACTGGGTATACCGTTTTCCAGGAGGTGTGTCCATCCTAATCTGGGGCAGAAAAGGGAAAGTCTGGATTTGTGCATCGAGCCCTCGCTTGCTTGTATTCGTTCTAAGGACCCCCCTGGTGAAACGCAAATCGTTGTTAAACCACAGAATACGTTCTCTCACATCCCCGTCATCCACGCACGGCCACGCTTCTTGTCGCTGGCCGTCCCATCGGTCGACACATCCTTGTCCACTAGTTCGTTGACATCGCAATGGATCTCGCAGAACTTTCCCCGCTTCTTAGCGCTGCCAGGGATCACCACGCGGTCCTTGCGACAGCTCTTGACAGCGCAGCGCCTGTGCTTGACGTCTACCATCCCTTCCGCGCGGTGCTGCGCGCAGTAGCGCGGGCCACCCTCCACGTGGCCAAAGTGGGGGTGCTTCCTGCAACCTTCGGCAGCACAGGGCTACAATAACATTGGAAATCAAGAGAGTTGGGTACCGCACGCAAAGCCGACAACAGGGCACGATGAGCGGGGCGGGGTCGAGGACGTTGGTGGGCATACCCATCAGGTCTGGCTTTAAAAAACTTTGCAAACATGCTGACACACTTTCCACTCTTTCAAACGACGGATTGCCGTAAATGGCGTGGCATACTGGCTTCCCATGTCAATAGCGTTGGAGGTAAGCTGAAAAGTGTCTGCCGGGGAGAACAGGGCATAAATAGGTGTATTTTCATGTCAAAAGGGTACGACATATTATTGGTCTTGGTCGAGATGTGATTTAGTGGTTATCCTCGCTAACGAGACTGACACCGCCGCAGTCATTTGCGAGTATGTTATTCGTGAGTGACATACTCACATGCGGTGGATCGAAAACACATGCATTAAACAAACGAGTGAGAGCTTCCCGTCCTTCGTTTGTTTTTGTTAGTTACGTCCTGTGTGGATTGTGGCGCTCACCGTGTAGAGAACGTCGACCATGCCCTCCTTTCGGTGCTTGGAACAGTACTTGCCCTTCTCCCCGGGCAGAGAGAAGCGTGGCTGCTTCGAGCAGTCCGGCCCGGCACATCTTCCTCCATTCACGTTCTGCATACCTAAGCGAGAGAGACGTTGACGGTATGCGAGCGGTCGCTCGGTGGTTGCGTGTGCCGGGTAGCATACGACATTGCCCTTGAGCTTGACACTTTGTTCTTCTGTACAGCAGCAGTACTTGCTGTGGGGTGGCTATGTATTGCGCATAGGCCGCAGTCTACTCGTTTATATCAGCAGTAATAGAAGCGGATACCACATCGGAGTACACGAACATGTGCGTAAATCTAGGTATATATATCTTGGATCCATTCCATCCTGAAAATTCAAGGGGCGGTGTACATATCTAGTCTACATGTATGTAAAAAATGGATACAATCCTCAGTACAAGGCTCCTCAATATCGATCTGCTCAGTAGACATAACGACTTCCTCTTTGCGGTACGACTCAAAATACGTTCGTCAAGATACAGCTTATTGCAAATAGGTGTTCGGTGAACGTGTCCTTCTCGTGAGCAATTAATAAACTGCGTATAGAATTGCCGAGATTCGCTGCAGCTCCGCTGTCGAAACCTGGGACGGTCGGTGTACAATGTCGCTGCTGTTGTGTATTGGCCTTACGGATATGCCGAGTGGCGCACCAACAGATTTGTTTCGGTACATTTCTACAACAATACTCACACAACACAGAAATGTTGCAATGGAAATCTTGTGAAGAGCTCACCAGGGGCTTTGTGCTTGGTGCAGTACTGAGCCTTGCTGTTCGGATCGATGAGTCGGCTCACGCCGTAGTGCGGGTTGCGGTAGCATCCTGGCTCGAGGCAGCGCTGAGTAACAAAGGCCGCAGTATCGAGGCGAAAGAAAAGAAAGTGTGAAAATACGTCCTGAAAAATGCAAGATATGCCAGCGAGTTTAGGCTTCGACGACATCCTACGCGAGCCTCGACGGCCTACCCGACGAACCGACAGAATAGATTGGAATCCCACCGCTCGCGGTTTCGGTTGGGTATGCATCCGATCTCGAGGACAGCAGAATAATATCCTCTCCGCCTTGAGCCCGCGAGAGCAACGGTACTTGCGGACGTACTCGGTAACTCCGTTGTGCATACGTCAACATGGTCAACAACACACAGACGAAATCGCTGACCACACGGACCGCTAATCTTTGCGGGGCGTGCTCACTTGGAGCAATGATGCGGTTGACAAGTGCGGAATCTGCTGCGCCTCCTATATTGTGCTCTGTTGCTGTTTACCGGTCGTCGCGGACAGACACACACACTCCGCCGTCTCTGAATCTCGTCATTGTTTAGTCAGTGCACTCGGTGGGTGTAGTGGTGCTTGAGAGAGAGAGGGAGAGACATGGTGCGGGTCTCTACTGGAGGGAGAGCATTTGCAATTGGAGAGTGTGACAGCAGCAGTGACAGGAGCAGTATACGCATGCCCGGTTACCGCCTGTGTGTGCACGATACACATCATTTAATTCCTTGGTCGTGTGTTTTCTCCGTCGACGTGCAAGGGTTTTAGCAGTATGGGCTGTTTGGCAGCAGCAACAACTGTGAATACGCGTGACCAGAGTCACAGCCAACGCAAGGCATCCGCTACTACTCGTACCTTGTTCCTCATGTTGACAAAGTCCCTCTTCTTATGGACTTCACACGCGTGCACGTCCGGTTGCAAAGGACTCGCGAACGGCGCCGGAGCCAGGCAGCTCTGGATGAAGCATCGCTTGCCTCTCTTCATGGCGGCTGTCGGGGAGGATGTACGTTCGTGCAGATAGGTTAGACTCCGAGCAATGAGCTGCGAGCTTTTACCTCGCTCTGTCTGGAACTGCTGGACTGAAATTGCCCTTGCTCGTGCTTGTGTGTGCTTGTGTGTGCTTGTGTGTGCCCGCCGAAGAAACCTGGTGAAAAGATCGACACCAATCCGTTTCTGGTTGTTGTGCGTACCGGGTTGTTTGGCGTCGTCGAAAGGATCACACTTGGAATATTGCGGGTAATTTTTTCCGCGCGCAGCCAACTGCAGACCGCTATTATTGCTGCTGGTGCTGCAGGTGATATCCTGTACATAGTCTATGCCTATAGACTAGAAAGTATTTTCGAGGGGGTGCTTTCCTTGTCCTATTCGCTTTCACTTATAAATCAGTGCACGAGGTTGATCCTCATGCCCCGGGTACTTTGGACGTGCAGTTGTTGTCTACCAGCAGCAAGCTCGTGTAGTACTTGTAGATTACACAGACAAGATTTTTTTTCTTTGTTCTCCCGGTGGTTCTCTGGGAGGTGCGTGGCGTTTCTCGCGTTTCTGCCCTCGCGCCCTGGCATTGGAGGTACGTACATGTAGGGGTCAGGCAGGATCTGACATAACGAAAGAAAAAAACGTCGGCTCGCGTTGAGTGCAAACCGACCTCTGGATGTGGTCTGTAGATCCAACCCTGCCAAGCGTGCAAGCGTGTCAGCGTGTCAGCGCGTCCGAGAGGAAATCGGCGGAACCACGTTAGATTCGGGAACCGACACCTGACAGCCCGCATCAGCGAGGTGTGGCAGCAGCGTCATACAGCATCGAGAGAAATGCCGGGGTTCAAACATGAAACATTTCTCAAACGGTACCCTAGACTATGTGTCATCACTGCTGTCCTTCCTTGATTGCATAGAGACACTGCAGCAGTACACCGTCCGAGCTAAACGAGGGAAGAGAAAAAATATATATAGCGGATAGTCTACATTAGTCTGGACACAAACTGCTGTACCTCACTCCCAAGACTGATTTTCAAAACTCGACTACAGTAGTTCAAAGCAGAAACAGCGGCGGAGCCGAAAAATGGCGGCGTTGGAACCGTTTCATGGAGAGCTTTCCGAAAACGTGTCACATGATACGTGCATATCCTCTTCGTCACGGAGTAAGCGAGCCAAATCGGTCCGGGGGTGTGGTATCTTGTGTTACCTGCGGTATACTGACTGCATGTAGTCTATACACAGTCTAACTACATTATCCTCATAATAACACCAACCGCAGGCAACAAAACAGTGGTTGGTCTACCCCCCCACGTTTGCATATGTTTGGACCCACTGTTGTCCGTTTCCGACCGAGACCTGATTCAATTAGAATATGGATGGATAAATGCCGCGAAATCTGGAGATGTCCAAGAAGCTCGGCTAACTTCCGAGTTGGACGCGAGGGGAGCGACGTTTCGAAGCGATCAAGAAACACGTCACGGAGGGCAACTCCCTAATGAAGGGAAACTGGGAGGTCATTCGCTTGACTTGGGGGCTGAGAGAGGGTGGCATCTTTGCGGAAGATGAGAGGGTCTCGGACGAGCTGCGAGCTGCAGACTGCTGATGATGCAGGTACCGGGCGCATCCGTAGAGGTTGAGGTTGGGAGGCAACTTGACATCTGGCTCAGGTAGTTGGACAACTTCGAGAAGTAGGAATGCAAAGTGTTGATACCGTCTGACCGCCGTGCGTTGATCATGCAATGGGCGGGGGCAGACCTGGAAAGTATCGTCAATCGCCAAGAATCACTCTCAGCAAGTAGGAACAGGTGCCCGATCTCGGGCAACCAACAAAGCGCGAGCCTCAGGCAACAGAAGAGTTTCCAAGGTAAGTACGGGCACGTGCTGTACAACACACAAAAGTTGCCATCAAGAAGAAATAAATGTGTCGTATACTTCGATTATTTGAGTATTCCACCGCCGCCTCTGAACAGGCTTGTTGAGTCAAGGCTGTCTCGATCCGAAGAGTTGATGTTGGTGCGTGATTGCCGGTGGTCCTCGAATCCGAGCACTTCTTCCGCAAACTGCATGGGATGGAGGGTTTGTCGTCCGTTCATTCTTGTAGTACTGTTGTCTCCAGTCAGGGCCTGCGCCGGATGCAAAATGTCGTGAACAAGGTTCGGTGGGGTAGATGCTTGATACGCTAAGCACCGGACCGCTCCTGCAGACCATTGGACTTCGTCACTCTGCATGAGGCTACGGGGGTCGAGTTTCAATCCATCGTGAACAGCAAGCAATGCCAGCCCCTCGATACTGCAGAGCTGCAGTACTCCAACAAAGCGCATGTAATTGCGAACTTCCCGATTATCTTGTCCACATTTCTGAGTATCCAGACGAACATTCATGGTGTACAACGCCAACCTATCACCTCGAGGCAGTGCACCAGTTCCTCCTCACTAACACGTTCCCCCATACACTGGAGTGTCGAGCAGATCGTTGGCCAGCTGAGTCGTCCGCCATCATGAGGATCACCTCCCATTGCACTAAAAGCTTCACATATCATCTGCGCGTTGCGTAGCGTTTACCATGTTGTCGATGTAAGCCATCTGGGCACACAAGTTGGTCCCGGGTCACCTGCCTCGAAAGCAGTGCGTCCCTCATTCTTGTGTAACAGGCGTGAAGTTTGTCGTACCGCATGCTACATTCTTGAATGAAAATAATTGAGCTTATCCATCTCAGGTTACCATGTCTGTGGAGTTCACTCAGGTCGGATGCGCCCTGCCCGAAACACCAAGCAATGACACAACTAGCTCACGATACCTACCATGGTACCATGTGAAGGAGGCCGGAGCTCGTTGAAAGAACGAACGTACTCGGCACCTCTCGAATGCAAGAGAGACTTGATTTGAGGTGCAACCCGCGTCCCGGCGGCTGAATACTTTTCAGGTTATTCGGCCAGGTAGAGAGCGTTCAAGGCTTACCCACCAGCGTCGCTGAACGTTTCGACACACAATCCTCTTAGTACTTCACCTGTTTGCTGACCGGGAACACCGGACGATGGTTCACGAAGAGGCGTATCAATCCATTCAGATCCACAGAATCTTCCACCTTTGATCAGTCGCACATTTTGCCACATCGTTAACACAACGGCAATCGTGTTTAGGAAAACAAGGGACGTTAGTCAACGGCTCACCGTCGGAAAACAGTGGAACCTTCGATGCTTAGTTTTGTTCATCTATTGGCTTGGTCAAAGTCAAGAGCACAAATCCACATTTTGCACTCCCCATAACGTCTAGAACAAACAGCGGCGAGGTTATTTATGTCGGTGTATGTTCAAATCTAAAGCTTTTGGCAATCCCCTGAGACTCCGCTAGTAGGACACCCACTTACGTCTACTGTAACTCCTCTTTCCGTGTATGTACCGGCGTTCAGTTTGGGACATGTCCTCTTTCCGATGGTTTGACAGCACAGTTGGAAGAGACATCGAGTTTACCGCCCAAAATATTCTTTTCAGCCACGGAATATGGTAGTAAGTCTCACCTCCCCGGTCTCGGTGAATCGCGAGTACTTGATCTCGTTCGACATGTGGGCAACCTCCTGCTTAGGAAGGAGGACAAGAGACGAGATTGGGTTGGAACACAAAGCATGTAGTTGTAGAATTATTGTAGCAGTATGAACAGGATTGGCCACATTCTGTACACGAAATCATCGTTAAAGATCAAGTACTCCAACGGTTTATGGAGCTGTTTCTGTGTCTTGGAATACTGATGCAGTGATCCTACCAGCCGCCCAGGACGCATTTCACCCATCGGCCCAGTCGCTTCACACGCTGCGTGCACACCGCTCGCTCAATCACACCAAATCATGTTGTACAGAATGGGTCTACCTGCTCCGTCGGATAGTAGCCTAACGCCCTCATGATGTTCGGAACCTCCTCCACAGGTACCGCGCTAGCCGTTGACCGTTCGTTTGTCGTGTCCTCCCCCTGAGTCCTCAAAAGTGCGTAGAAAAAGTAATCTACCAGTTCCTGGGAAGTTCATACAATTTTCAGTAGCACAACATCGAAAGGGCAACACACAATACGGCAATTAAACGGCGATTTGTCGGACGATCCGCAATACTGCGAGTCGTGGATGACCTCCTGCCTGACAGCGCTAGAAAGCGGCCAATCAGTCGAGATTGTGATGGAAAACGACATCCCGCGATTTTTCTCTTAGTTGTGGCCTCCCGCCGTAATTCCACGTTTCTCCTGAAAGAACGCTATACAACGAGCTCCCCCCGCCGGTGCAACTCGGCGACCATATCTCGTCGCGAACACAGTCAGGACTCGGCTCGAAAGTACGCTTCAAGCCACCAGATTCAGCGATGAGAGTAGCCATGTCGTACACTTGCATCAAATCTTTGAATTAAATATGTCAGTTGCGTTTTTTCCAATAATTCGATGTCTTGGTTCACCTCGTGCAGATCTCCCCCTTCTCCCCCCTGCAGCTGTTCCAGAAATGGTGCCATGTCGTCCGCCGCAGAGGGGATGATTGTGCTCATGCTTGGGTCTCCTCGGACTGATTCTTGCTCCACTTTCAGCTGGGTCTGGTTCTTGGCTGGCATGTTGGCAGAAGCTGCGTTCTATTGTCCACGGCAATGGTTGACCGACGAAAGACAACATTGCAACCGTGATGGTACGTTATTTCATCTGTCTATGGTATAGCCGGAGAAGACGTACACAGCCGTACTTCAGTTTCATTGATTTTGAGACTTCGGTGCACCTTCGCTAAAATCGATCGTTGTTGCAAGCGGTGTTGTTTCTACATGAACAAACAATATGATTGTCCCAGTACCTCCTCTACGGTGTTTTTCAATGCAACAAAACAATCCCAGTGGTCACGAGCCAAACTAAAATGAGGTACCACTATCAATGCAGGGTATACTCCAGTCAACAACTGTAGGCCCAGAAGTACGAAGAAATGCAAATCTGTCGTTGACTTGGCGAACGTTTGACCGTGTCAGTACTGTGTTTCGAATACATCGGCTTCGTGCTCCACCTGCGGTGGTATCCTAGGCCTCAAGAGGTCTACCGGATGAGCCATTCGTAAGTGCCCGCCAATCGCTACGAATGGTGTTACGTGAATTCTCCACCCCGCGACATGGCACGTGAAGGTAAAACCGATACCTGGAAACTCTTCACACGGATGGACTATCTCTTTCTGGTCACCTGCACGGCCTGGGTGTTTATTTTCCACACATTGACGGTGAGGTCTTTCCCCCCAGCGGTGATCAAGTAGTTCCCGTCGCCGCTGACAGAAAGAGAACTGATCTCGCCGGGATGCGCGATAAGGCCCATCATCTTGTGAGAATTCCCATCAAAAGGTACCTGAACCTGTTGGGTCGGAAATAGTTTAGCGGCTAAGGAAAGAGGCGCACCATTGTGGAATGCATACACTCAGTGTTTACTGGGGGTGCCGATGTCCACTGGAGAAACGGATCAAGCACACAGCAATATATGAACGCTGTTTTTTATTGAACGTTGTTTTATCTGCAAGGCTCAAGCAGCACTCCGTCGGGCGCCATCAGCGACACCGAGGTATTTTTTCAACAACAAAGACGCGTCTGTGAGTGCACAATCTTCCACAGTTGATTGGTGGTGCGCGTCGGTCGGTTATCCGTCATGAATAGCAACGCCCCCCGCCGCAAGCTCACTTGCTGGTACAATTGTTGTATGGATATCCCCGAAACACCCCCCATCAAATCTTCAGCATCATAGACACAATCGGGACGCGAACCTCGTCCACCCAGGCTATGCTTCACGTACTCGCCACTGGGTAGTGGTACTACGCGCTATCTTCTAAGAACCTGCGGGGGGGTGGCGCAAGAGCTTAAGCCTGGCGTACATTGATTCAAACGTTGTGACTCACCAACCCGACCACCTTCTCCGCAGTGCCGTAAGCCACAAACTCGGTTGGGCGCGACTGTCCGTCCGTATGTATGTTGTTGATTTGCTCCAACCGGTTGATGGGGCCCCCAAACGTAGGCCCGATCGTTGTCCTACGGCAGCTTTTGTTGTCAGCGTTCCACTGCTTGAACTTGTACTCGTTGTTCGCGGTCACCTGCGCAGCTCAAGGACAACACACAAGGACGTTCTCGTTTCCTATTGCTTTCAAAGTTTACAGTTCAATCATTGAGTGCCTTCCATTGGGACTACGTGTAAGATCTCGAGAGAGGTGCAAAAAAGGTATGCCGATACAAAATAAATCTAAAATGCCCATTATCCCCAAGCCGAGGGGGAGGCACAGATGACAAAAACGCCAGGTGATGTCAATATTGTTTCAACAGTTTCAGAGAGGATCCCGGGGTCGACTCTTTTGTCACATTGGTGTTAACGCTGCTGCCGTGACACTTTCATTACTAGGCTGCATAGAGGGCGTTTCATAGATGATTGTTTTTCCTTAACCGAAGAACCATTCGATACTTAAGTACGACAATGTTCACCAATCGATCCTCATAGTCGGAGCCCAGGAGAGGGTGCCAAAGGAGGGCCGTCGGCAGGCCGTTCTGCTCAATGCGCCTCGGTGCCTCCGCCATCAAGAGACCAGTTTCCTGTTGTGCCGGCCCATCCAGCGCGGCGGTGTTTGTTGATAACGAGAGCTTGTACATGAATGAGTCTTGATGTCACAAACATTGTCATGCTTCAGTTCGTCGCCATGATATCATGACCTAATATAATCAACGAAGAGCGAGGAAAGACTCGAGCCTAGTCGGGCGATTCAATGAGAGATGTCTCTGACGACTAACCTTGGAAAGCAAGCAGACGTGTAAACTTGGTTGCCCGCGTATCTTAGCCGCTTGCAGGCGAACGATGACATATAATCCTATTGCCATCCTTGGATATAGGCTAGTATTAGGGGAGGCTCATTTCACGCCAGCATCAGTTGGAAACACACGCGTAAAACTGCAACGCCAACAAGGTTAACAACGGGCGTTCTCTGGGACAAGTTGAAGAACGAAACATGCTCAGCGGACGTACCTGGTTACTGTCGGGCAGGTTATACTCAACGAGACACCTATCCTCGCCGACGCTGACGAGTGACACCCTTCCATCTTCACGAGTGCCGAACTCTAGCCCCGTGATCGCTCTGCCGTGGCTTCGGTGGCGGCCTACATACACCCACGTGTCTCGTGGCTGTACCTCTTCGTCCTACAGTAACACGATCCACAATTCGTCGCACGTTTGCCACGAGCGGGGCCGCAGTCAACGGGTGCGTAATCAATTTCGCAAAATAAATGGTATCTGATATTCGTGTTACTACGTACAGTAGGTCCTTCCAAGAAGAAAAGCGCTAAGTGTTGGATTGCAGTGATATTCGTACGAGCGATCGATACTCCAAGTTCCAAACAGGACAGAAGCGCTTGGCCATTCTTGTGCTCCTTGTTTTCCCCTATATGTACATACGTACAGTCCATCGTGTCGAGTCACACCATGTTCAAAATACTCGCCCAGTACAATCATACGTATATTTGGACGTTTGCAATGATAGACTATTTGTCAGGGGAAGCGGGGCGTTTGGCAAACTTGTGGTCCCGCAGTGTTCGTGGTGAAGTACTGCGCAGCCGCAGACAAAAGGCTACCACGAGCGTCGCTATACGAGCATTTTTACCTGTTGTACAACCGATTCTGCACATCCATCTGAGAACCGCACGACTAGCAGCAGTGCTACCCACCTCGGTCGGCATGTAGGGTTCTTCCGCGTTTGGTGACTGCTGCGCTTCTACCACCGAGTGCTTGAATAGCAACACGTGATTATCAGTGTCGCTTGCAGCCACCTGAACAAGTGTTCACATGGAAGAGAGTGCAGCATGAACTCTGTTTGCTGCCTTTTCCTTGCCAATGTATGTATTTTCTCGCGACCAATACGCATGTACAGGACGCACGCCACGGTCTTCGCACTTCGCACATGTCTCAAACGCTGGCAGTCATTTTCGCCGAGATGTATTTTCACCCAACCATCTCCCTCCAAACGTCTTCAATTTCCACTTGCACGACCATCCAAGGCTCACCATTTCTCCGTCGGGGCTGAAGCGGACGGTGGATAGGGAGGTCGAAGAATAGCGGAAGCTGGCTACTTCCTCGAGGTCGGTTGCGTCTAGGATCTTGCAAGCACCTGAGCTGAAACCGATTGCAAGGAGGGTTCCTTGAGGGTGGAACGCGCAGTTTTGCGGCCGCAGGCGAGCCGGGTCGAATGAGCGGAGAGTCACCAGCACCTGCTCGATATGGAGGCGTACCGAGAGGTGCGTGGGCAAAGACATGATGGAGACGTGACCACGGAAGAGGAAGGGTGTGGACACAGTGGGCGGGTCCGAGCGAGTGTCGTGGTGGTAATACTCTTTCGTGTTGCTGGTATGGGCCCCCAAATACGCAGTTGTATGCAAACTCCCTGAAAGATCTGTCTATGGGCATCGCATCGCCAACCTGAATATTCCACGTTTCGGTTTTTCCATCGTCGCTCCCCATGCAGCCACCTAACACTCCATCAAACATGTTCCGCGTTCATGAACTACGCATCAACCACGCATTTTGTTTTTTAGCCAGCGTTTGTCTCGTGTCCTACCTTGAGGTTGTAGTCCCACAGATGCACATCACCGGACTCGCACAGTATCACCAATCGCGGCAACAGGGGGTGAGCCGCCACACAAGCTACCGATCCCACCATTCCCTGCACCAGGACAGAGCCCCTCCTGGCCACACCAGGACCGTCAGGTTGTTGAGGAAGAGCAAGTGAGAACGCCCAGTGCATCACTGGTGTTGACCAACTTCATGGGTTGCAACATCACCCCTGTGGACAGTGAGAGAATCGACGAACAAACTATATATGACTTCACCAAATCAATCTGATCAAGGCCTGAATAGGGCGTTAAGCTTCCTCGGCCGCACAAACACTTCCTGCATCAAAATTTGTCAATCGTTTCCGATGGAGACACAAGTTTCACCAAACTTCCATACCTTCGTTCTGGGTCAAGTTCCTCGAATGCCGAAGCGGCGCAAGCCACGACGTAGGCCCGATTAGTGCCCACGACGAAATCGGGAACTCGGAAAGCTGAATCAGCACCTCCTTTGGCGCGTGGCGGTAGCTTTGCCGCGAACGAGACAGATGTTACGCCACCGGCTGTAAAATCTTCAAACCAGGCCTGAGACCGGACACAGCCGTTCACGAGATCCCGAGAGAAATGTAGGAAGATTTTTCGCAGTTTATGTGGTAACTACAACACCCTTCAGACACGCTCGTTCACCCTTTGTTGATGTTGGCGCTCCCACACGTATCCGTCGTAGTCCCTTGGGTGGATTCACGGCTTGCATCGTTTGGTAGCGCTGGAAGAATAAACACCAATAATGTCGATCATCTGCTGTGAACTCTTTGTCTGCTATGAGGTGTTGCTGTTCGGCGCTACGACGTTGATGGTGCACCATCACCCGAGGACGTCAAACGCCTTTCTCGTGTAGCTATCTCCCGCATCGCACTCTCACCTCCAACCGGAACTTGAGGTCATAGAACCGCACTGCCCCATCCTCACCAGCTGTCACAACGTACATGGCTGCTCCTGCAGCCGAGTCAACGCCAACATCGCCCGAACCTGGCCCGTCCTCCGCGTGGGTGGCGCATTCATCGTCTACCGCCGGGCTGCCACCAGCGACGGTGCTCACGTGTGTAATCGCTCCGTCACAGAGTTTCAACACCTTGGGTTCGAATAACGCGAGCGCAACCGGATTCCTTGGACAGATTGGTAGCGTGTTTGGTCTCACAAGTTTCCGGTCTCGTTGTCCGGTTTTAAAGCCCTCGCGTCTGACACTCCGTGGATTTCTGCACGCCCGTCTGCTCATTCGGGCTAAGCGTTGTGGCTGTATTACTCAAACGTTTTGGAACCCTCTCGCCCGTACCTTGACCGCTTGCCGCTTTGGTCTGTGAAGGAGCAATTGTGCCGACTCTAGTGATCCATCGGGTTCGCCGGCATTGCCGGCCCCGTTGACCCCTTTTGAAGTCGTCTGGACCTCATCCCAGACGACGATCTTGCATATCAGGGAAACAACCAAAACAGTAGTGTAGAAAGATCGTGGTTCGGTAGTCGTGTTAGACGGACTGTGGCAACCCAAGGGTTGATGGCACGAGTTCTAAACACGAAAGAACCGCCACGAGGAACCGCAAGATTCTTGTGCTCAGCTTTGCTTGGAAACACACGCCGCCATGACATTGCGCCGCCAACGACAATAATACTGTTGCCTTGTCGCCTACCTCGCCGATAGAGGTGACGGTGATAGCCTGGGTTGTCCCTGGTAGGAAGCAGCACGATGTGTAGACTCCATTTCCCTGTGTACGCGGTAGATTAAAGGCGACACATGGGTTGAACAGGAAACGAGGTAGCGCAGTCGACGGGGATAGGCTGATACCACTCTGCTGTGTCTGGGGTGCGTTTTGCAATGACATCCATATAGACAAGTTCACGTAACATGCACATATACAGGACTTCAAGAACTTGCTTCGCTGCAACACGTTGCCGAAGAGATCATGCTTCAACTCCGATGCATGACGTTCAAATTATCGCAAAATGGGCATGCCGTAGTCCGAGATGAAGAAATAGACAACGGAAAAATAGAACGAGGCAATCCAGTCTGGTGTGCTGTGGGATTTATCACCTTCTTGAAGTCATGGCGTGACATCCGAGGAATGTAGCCTCTCAGACCGCCGTCTTCCCAGCCCCAGAACATAGTCTTGCGGTCACCCGTCGTTACAATGTGCCGGATGTCAGAACTGTTGAACTTCACCACCTGCAAGGACAAGAAAGAAGTCGAATGACAATTTGGTTTCTCACTACATGTCATTTTGCTGAACCACCCCCTCGATGAGGTGCCAAGTCTACGTATTGATCCCCACATTTCATAACAATACTGTACCATGTCTTATAGGCACGTAGTGGTTGAACCCAAAAGACTACTGTTGCACCACACCAGCTGTATCTGTACCTTCTGCACATCCGGCTCATCGATGACGCTGGTGAAGAGAGCCTCTTCCCTCTCCGGGTGAGTCCATTCCCAAATGCTTATCGTTTGAGGGGAGTCGTTTTCGCTCTCCGCTGGCGCTGGAGCACTCAAGGTCACGATGAACAGGGCATCTGGCGAGATATCCATTGCGATCACGCCTTTTGGATGCGGATTGAAAATGCTTTTGATTGGAATACCGGAAGCCGTGTCCCATACGACAAGCATGCTGTCCTGTCCAGCATCGGCTGTTACCACCCATTTCTTGTTATGACTGACTGCGACGGCGCAGATACAGTTGCAATGCCCCTATAACAGCGATGAAGACAAGCAGCGGCAAAGGCAAACGATTTGTAACGCTCGGGGGACCACCCTCGCCAAACGTAGCGACATGGAAGGGGATATTGGCCGTGGTATTGTTGGTATGGCGAACGTCGGTAGTACTGTACGGGTGGGGATATCGCTTCACAGGGAAGACGCGTCGGTATTGATTAGATCACATTCAATGGAGAATAATTGAGGTTTGAGGTTTAAAAAACAATTGAAAATACAATTGAAAAGGTGTTGGGTGTGTACAGCTTGGTAAAGCAGTAACAAATTCCACTCGACCACGATGGAAAGGTTCAATACTACAAATGCTCTCGTTTCGCGCGGAAAGATAAACAATGATTGTGTTTTTCGTGAATAGTCTAGTCGGCTACCGTTTTTAATGTTTTATTATTTATTTATTTATTTTTCTTAATATGACACAACGAATCCATCTATTTTTGTTTGGGGGGGGGGTATGTATGAACTATGCATGTAGTGTTCAGTATTCATGTATTACGATTACAAGTAGGGGAGCATGGCTATACAGCCTATTCTTCTTCTCCCGAAAGAAGTAAAGCAAGCACCGCAGGAAACAACGCGAAATTCAAGAGCACGAGAACCAAGATGCACAGCGCACAAGCCAGCGTGCATGATAAGCAACTTTAGTGACTACATGGACACACCTGCAAGAGGTCTTGAGTGCGCTTGGCGTAGTCGTATATTACGCCGGTGTGGGCCGCCACGAAAAAGAGGGCCTGTCGCCCGTCAGAGCACAAGCTGTGTACGCCGTCAACAACATCCTTGTTGAAACCAAAACTCCAGTTCAATGTCAGCGCATTCGTTGCCAAGGAATTGAGAGTGCTCGAGGAATCCATCGTGTTGAAATGTTTCCACTTCTGCGACAGATCAGTACATGATATTAGATATGCGAAACCAAGCCAGCAGCTGTAGCCGTTCAAGGTTAGAGTAGTCGTCGGCGTGAAAAAACAAATGAAACGGCGACATTAATCGAACGCCTCCACTTCGAGTGGAACCCCATTTAACTGCTGTCTGTGTGCCCCCCGCCCCGCCTGAAATCCACACGCACACACACCACTTACACGTTGGCGGCAGGGGAGAGAGAGAGAGGAAGAGGGAAGGGCGAAGATTATGATCTCATACCTTTTCGGACCGGAGTCCGGGCCTTGCTGGTGTGATTTCGAGGCATGAAACGAAAAGAAGGCGCTTTCAAGGATACACTGCAGGATCTTGCTGTTGGAGCACTCCAGCTCACGGCACACATGTGCCCCAAGAACTTGATGTTACACGCCGGGCTGCTGCTCCTAGCAGGATGTGTTTCTTGTGCGGGCCCTGCTTTCGCTCAAAGGTGGGTGTTTTTATCACAAAACAGACGATTGGTTTTCTGTTTGCAGAGTATCAATAGCCAGACTGGACTACTGTACATCCCGATGTAGAGCAGTAGACCCATTGAACCGCCTGAGCAGTTGCGGAGGGACTCCTTGTTAGTAGACTCGTGGTCTTCTGCAGCAGTTGTAGTCTAGGCTACAAGACTGTAGTCTATGTTATGTTTCTCCCATCGACAACACGGCATAGCCCCTGGACGACCTGGTTCCGCAGTCGCGACGAACGCAAATTTGCCTCCCACTCTTGTAGTCCCTACCGAATGGGGGAGATGTATCTGGCGTACCCACTGAGTGATGAGTAGCTTTGGGTCCGACAACCCGACACCCAGACCGGGGGCTGAGGGCCTGTATCAAACCCAACGCTTGCATCAATTGATCGGACACTGCACAGAGGAACACGACAGATTCGTTGCACTGAGCGTACATACTCGACGCGCGGTATATCCATGGTGAGGCCCTGCCGGTACGGGAACCCGATCCTATACTTCCAGTAAGTGATCGGACCCATTCACGATTGCCAGATGCTCTACTGTAGGTTAGGTCTTAAAGAAAAAGTCGTCATCTCCCCATTCACATTTGAGCATTAGAATAGAAGAGTTGGATCTGCCCATACAGTCGAACCTAAAAGTAGGGTGGCCCGCAGAATGCAAAAAGGGGGCCCGCAGACGTAAACCTTGGGGGTATCGCGTGTATTTCGCATGGCAGAGATAAACGTGCTGCCTGCTGCGGTATATGCACTCGCGGTAGACAGCGTGAGTACGGTCTGCTGCTGGTCCGTGGGCACACTGCAGTATGGATAGTTCCTATCACCTACTGGCGATTCGTCTGCATCCAGTGTCATGACATGTGGAGAAACGACATGCCCGATGAAATCTGCCGCCATCGCGGGAGTGCACTGGTGTTCTTGTGGGCGGGCGATGCATGGGTTTTGTGGCTGAGGCATCGGGGAAGACGGTTACGGACAGCAGAGAGGTTCGGTGTAGAGGACGACCCGGAGGTGTTGAAAGAACGGATAGAACTAGAAATGCAGGCTGTAGAGCAGTGCCTCGCCGACGTACAAATCGACGACGGATCGAGCGAAGAGGAAGACGGCAGTGAGTGTTGGTGGTAGGCCCGAGTCGTGCATCATATCGTCGCTTACAGAGGCTCGGGTCCACTCTCGTTTCGAGGAACTTCGCTCCTTCTTGTACGCGAACGGAAGGAATGGTGAATACAGGGAAACCCAATACTTGCTGTCGAGAGCGGTGCATTCGTCCACTCATGAAACTCAAGTAAATCGTGGAGCGAAGGAGGGGGCGAGGTCCAGGTAACTCTTCGTGGCGTATTGAGGAAGAAGTAGTGTCGTGAGGTGCTGCCATGGCGTGGTATTGCCATGGCTTGGTGGCTTAGGGCAACATTGTGTCTGGATTGCACTGTAGCACTAGCTCACTGCCAGCCGGTCGTGCAGGGGGGCAGCAGTCGATAGCTTCACACTATGCAGCTGTGGGTGTTGTTCCCATCAATCAAACCTTGATGTTTATAGCCTTCGCACGGTTTTTAGATTAACTAAGCAACCATGTGGGATAAAGTATGTAATCGGGGAAGTTGGGATACTTCGAAGTACTAAACAAACCGTGGATTTCACGAGACCTACGGGTTCTCGTCGCCCCATTGGTGCTGTCGTTTTAGGGATAAGCCGCCTCCGTTGACCCTGGGGATGGTGAGTTATCGCCCCCTGAAAGTTAGGAACGCTTCCCTCCATTAAGGACGCAATAATATATCCTAAACGATGTGCGTCCTTAGGAGAGGTTTGACTGTATCCGACAAATGCCCCAGAGTGCGTCATAAGGACGCGGTGGAGTTGACAGATCTCCTCTTCAACAAACAGGAAACGCCTGCATATCTTGGTTTTCCAACAATTAGTTCCAGTATCATATGACGGGTAATGAGCCGCGGGGTACGGCTCAGTACCTTGCAATAGTCTACATGCGTACCCAGTGTAGCTAGGTGCACCAGGCACACGCGTGCGACGGGGGCGACGAGGAGTTCCTTGTGTGCCGACGGGGTACGCGGACGTTGTTAGTTTTCCGTTGATGCCACGCACTGGCGAAGAACTATAACTGTAAGTCTCTCCGCCGTGCGCAAATGCGGAGATGCGACATCGTGACGGATAGTGCGGCAAGCTCTCAACTTACCCGCCACACTCAATCGTCTCAACCCTGCCAATTTCCTACGTAGTGACCAGCGAGCAGTTTACATTATTATTTCCCAAGCAACAGAAGAAGCCTTTGACCATGAATTTCCCGAGAGAGAGAGTCGGTATCAACAATGGCAGGCAGACGGCCTTGCCTAAACTCATGTTTCGTTTCGTTTCGTTTCGTTCGCTTGAACGAAGACAGTAGCGGGGTGTAAGCAACCTATCATGAAACGATAGAAGGCAATCACCCTGAGAACGCACAGCAATAGACGACGCTCACGCCCTTGAAGATTTCTCTCCATCCGTGTCTACGTGCGTGAGCGTTTGTCAGACCGATTGGCTATATCCACGGCGCGCAGGTCGTTTTGGCTCGGCACCTGCTACTTTTGATAGCTGTGGCCCAGCGCTGTGTGTAGTTTTTCCTCTGTCCTTCCTGCGGGTTTGAACCGTGTGCGTGCGATCTCCGATTTCCATTCCAGGGGTCGGAATGAGGTATCTCCCGAATTTTGGGCGCAATGCCTATGTAGCACGTCCATCTGTTGTCCGAGCACGACCAAACCGGCGTGACGTGTCCTATTTTCATTCTTCCTCGAAGGCAACACGGTACCCTATTGGTCTTGGTTGGGTCGAAAAGGAGGGTTATTTAGGCTTCCCGGCAATCAATTTCGGGGGCCCTGCATCGTGTGGGAACAGGCTGATATTTAGAGCATTTTTACCCCTCCTAGGATGAAAAGAAATAAAGTAATGCTTCGCGCTCCGCGGCTCATTACCAATCTACCATCGCACAGCAACCGTCCGTCGATGTCGCTTGTGTACAACGTTACGCTAGTAAATAGTCCTTGTGAGACACCCTTGTGGTACACTACCGATTGGCGGTCCTCGATTTTCCATTGGATCCTTTGTCATCGAGATCGGTGAGCTACAATGCAAGCAGATTATTGAAGCTGCGGTGCGATCCGATTTCTAACGCTTCAAGCACACAGTGACCGTGTAGATCCGCCAATGTGAGTGTGGGAGGCCGCGAACGTTAGCACAGCTCTTCCCTCACCCATCTTATTCGTCGCCCTCGGCGATTTGAATGCCTGGGGTGATGTACATGTAGGTCTAGCCAAAAGCAAAGGTTCTTCAAGCGCTTGAAAATCGGACCGCACAGCAGCTTCAATAATCCTTCTTGTAGCTCACCGACCTCGATGGTAAAATTACCCTTTTGAAAGTCAAGGACAACAAATAAGTAATGTATCACAAGGGCTACAGTCTGAGCTAGCTAACATTGTACACAAGCGACATCTGCAGACGGTGAAGCGACATCTGCGGATGGTTCTGTTCGATGGTATCAAGATATAATGCCGGCGTTTCCTGTTTTTCTGAAGAGGGCATCTGCCACCTCCACCGTTACGTTATCGCTCTTAGTACTGGACGCCCAAATGGGGAAATTTTGGGGACACAACACTCAAATGTCTGTTTACCGCTCCGTTAAGGCTCCCCTACTATGTGAAACGCACGTGAGAACCCTTGGTCTATGGTGCTTGGGTGACGTGGTACGTTGTGTGATATGATGTGTGATGCTTCTTCTCGGTCTCTGACTTGCTGTACACAATCTACCAAGCGGCGTGTCCTTACAGGTGGTAAAACTGTATACCCTGTCACTGGAAAAAGTTGCTGACTTACCTTCAGTAGGAAAAGAGTCTCAAAGTGTCCCCACGTTTTTTGGGGACACGTTTCATACTGAAGTGACGCTGCGTCTGGCATAGGATCGGCACTCTCCGATTTATTTGGAGGGAGGGTAGCCCATCGGCAATCGCTGACAAAAAGTTTGCGATACTATTTTTTTGTGGAGGGACTGCGTACTGGAGGGTTAACGGCCTATCTGGAAACAAGAGGACCAAACCTTGACGCAACACACGGTGCAATAACCCGAAATATTCGCTGTTTGCCAATTTCCAGATTGCTGTTGTGACGTGCATGTAGCCATACCACATGGGGAGCTAATCCGCCTGAGAAGTACAAGCCAAATGCGAACATGGCCAGTGTGTTGACGCACACTATATCTGTGCATGTGAGATTCTGAATTGAGCCTCATCAGACAGACAACCACGAATTGGTCTTTGCATTTCTGGTTCGACAACACCCAGAAGCATGTCCCACATACACCCACACAGTTGTTTTAAGCGCCAGGTAATGTACAACGATGCACAGTCACTCTCTATATATATATATCTCTCTGCTCGGAGGTGCGCGGCAGTTGATGTTGTTTACGTGGATTGGGGTACTTGGGCATGCGCCGTGCGTGCGATTAGACCGCTCCTCGCCAACATTGGTTCCGGTTCACCCAAGTCCGGAATAGATTGCATCGTTTTTCCTTTCTTTCGAACCCAAACTTGAGCCATGTGAACCTCTATTTAGTCGAAAAGAGTGCACGATCGGAAAATTTTGTTACGAAATCGAAAAGAGCGTTCTTCCTTCCGCCTCCATGACCTTGGTCACAAAGCAGTGGCTGGGTGGCTCAGTTGGTACACTCACAACCTTGTGACGTTAAGGACGTCGGTTGAATGTCGTGGCAATCACAGGAGTTGAGAGTTTTTTTTCACTTTTTCCCAGATGCGGAACGCCATTAGTATGTGTCTGCGATACACCTTCGACTTCGTGGTCGACGAGGGAAAGGAACTGTTCATCCTTCTAGAGAAAAAGATAAAGGCAAGTAGCACAGCATGAAAATTGAGGGAAATAATCAGTCCTGTGTGACCCCTTTCTTCCCGTGGCATTTGACTGACGATGCGTCCAGCACAAATACAGTGTACCCGAAAGGTGTAAACGCTGATATCTAGTAATAGTGGCACGACGCGCACGGAGGGAGGCAACTACAACACGAGACGAGACGTGCACTGTTCTTCGTCTTATTCCGTTTCCGTCTTCTTTCACAGAGAATAGCCTAGCCTATGTTTCTTGTCAATTTGAGACTACATGTAGCTTCCAGCCAATTTACCTGTAGGTACTATCGTCCCGAGCTGCCACACGACCTGCGTTCTACCCACGCCGCGATTTCAGCACAATCATAGGACGCTTGCTTGTGGGTAGACCCAATTTTGCAATCTGTTTCCCTCTTGGTGCTGCACCCGCAACCGAAAGCAGCATCACCATACCGTAGAAGGGAATAGCTTCGGAGATACCAGTACCGAACAATGCCTTACCGCTTTGGTCGCTTGTCTTCACGCTTTTGTCGAACGCAGGAACCAGGCAGGCGGTTTGATCGGAAAATACAAGCTGGAAATTGGGAACCCGCGTTCATCAAGAGATCTCCGCCAAGACAGCCGAAAGCACACACGCGAAAGACAGCAAGTAGCCGAGGGCCGGCGATTGCAAGGTGCCGTACATTGTGTCCGGGCAGCAAACACCTGTCGTACGTTGTCCATCGTGTCGCACAGACAAGTTAAAGTTGCATATGATGGGCACGTCACGGGACATTATAAGATTGGTTTTGGGTCATCTAGAGAAAAGGCGGTACGCGTGCGCAAGGGGAGACTCTTCTTCATCGTAAGCGCAGGGGCTGCAGCAGGAAGGGGCGAGATAATACCAGCCCTGTTTATCTATGGGGGCTGCAAAACACCTTGTGGCTTGACAATAGCCCGATGTAAACGGGTGTTGGTGAACTGCTGTTGAGGGAGGGAATGGGCAGTACTGCTGCGGATGAGAACCCCCACGGAATGGGTTGATATGGCGCCCACGAACAATGCCCGACTGTGGGTTCGGTTTTTTCCCGTGTTGTGCATGCCCATATCCAGCGAGTACCACCGCCTGGCCTGTACGACCCTGCGTTAAAATGAAATCATATCATTCTGGGACTTTCCAAACTACCGTTGCATTTCCTTTCGAAGAGATTTTACCCGTCGTTCGGAGATTGTGTTTCCCCGGACCGGTGTCACCATGTTTTCCATGGAGAAACGTGCAAAGTGGAATTGAACCGGAAACGTCGGACTTCTAACTTTTGTGGTGCATTCGTTCACATTTGAAGGTTAAGTTTGGGCAACGATGTAAGGCGAACGAATACTTAAGTGGTCAAAGCATGTACCTCGGGTGGGAAAGTACTCATCATTTTTGACGTCCAGAAAAGGTGGGACGACACACACAGGCACAGGCCAATCAGTGACAGTCATGTAGAATACCTACTACGTAACACCTCGCCGTCGGCAAATACAGCGCCCGAGGTTATCGTTCTAGATGAACTTCAGCTGACGTAACACATGTAGTTTCCTACAATGTTTCATTTGGACGACTTCCAAAGCTTTTGTATTTGGAAACATAGTGCACTGCGATTCGGTTCGTGTTGATCGGTTCCAATCTTTTCTATCGTCGTTGCCGTGGATTCCAGAGATCGGACCCAAGTATTCATCGGTAAGATGTGGTTAGCTAACTTGCATCTCGTGTTCCGATTTCCAAAGCAGTGTCAGATGTTCCGGAGGCGCCTACAAGCGTGCATGGTGCGCAAGCAGGGCTCCGAGCCGTTGTCGTTTCTTGGGAGGCGCCAGAGGACAACAACTCCACAATAGCCATATACGAGGTCACGTACAACAGCATTGGCGCCCACGGAGGGGTTGTGACAGCAACAGGAAGCCCCCCACCCACGTCTACCAATGTCACGGGCCTTGCCACGGGCTTGGTGTACACTTTCGCAGTCCGCGCGATCAACGCTGTTGGGGCTGGTGCTCAGAGTGAACAAAGTGCTGAGGTGAGGTCACCGTCGTGCATAGTCGTACGTACTGGGGACAGACAACGGCTTGTCCATCCCAAGTAGACGCCCTGAGATTCTTGACTGTTCTGTACCTTCGCCATGGTGATAATAGATCCGTGATCGCGACTCGACTGAAAAAGCCTGGGACGTAAGTGATAGTAGCAAACATAGTACGCCAATGTCAATTTTGAATCGAGTAGAATATTTGCGGTCCCCGTCGACAACGCATCACCGTGATGCGGAAACCTGGCAGTAATCGACTGAAAAATATGTCAAGGCAACCCACACGGCTGCTCGAGCTTAGTCGAAAACGGCTATCAAAATCTAAATGTCGTCGAAACGGAGTATAACAAACCAAGAGAGAACAGCCGTTGACAGTTGAAAAAATAAATTGCGCACCACAGCCCACAGAAACACAACGTAAGCAGAACCAGAAAACCGATCAATAGACAAGACTAGTTCCTGGTGGAACACGTCCGATCAACCACCAGGAGTGACTTCTCGCCCCAGGGGCGTTTGCGGGCGTCGGTCCCACTGTTGTACTCTCGACCTACGCCGCCGGCGAAGTGGGCACCGCCAACGTCAGCTTCATCACGTCGAATCCGATTCCAAGTGACGGGCACGTCATCATCACCTTCCCATCAAACTTCACGAGCGTGGACTGTTCAGTGGCTCTCGCGTCGGGTATGGACGGCGGTCTCGTTTCGAATGTATCCGGATACACCGTAGACGTGGAGCGCGACGGATTTGGTTCTGCAGTGGAGCCAGGGACGGAAGTGTCTGTGAGCTTGGTCGATTGCGTGAAGAACCAGCTGTTTGAGGGCGAGAGCGACTCCTTTCCCGTCCTGAAGACGACACTCAACGACACCGGTATATCCGTCGACGAGGCGAGCTCTGCACACAACTCGGAAGACCAACCAGCGGCGGTGTTGTTCACCCCGGGAGCGTTCTCAGAGCCACCAACGGTCGAGTTGGACAGCCTTGTGGCGGGCCACGAGGGCGGAGCGAACGTCACTCTCGCACTGTCGAACCCCTTGCCGGCTGATGGGAACATATTCATCGAGTTTCCCAGTGAGTTCTCTCCCATCAACTGCAGCCACGTTGTGGCCACGGGCATCGACGGTGGCCTGGAGGTATACGTGGCTTCGGACGCCGTCCACACGGTGCGTGTGCAGCGGGCCGGGGACGGTAGTGTCGTGGTAGGGGGATCGAGCGTGTCTCTCGCACTGGTCGACGGCATAACGAACCAGGTGTTCGAGGGCGTGAGCGCATCGTTTCCGTCAGTCAAAACCACTTTGACGGACGTCGACGTGGCCATAGATGAGACTAGCGCCGAGTTCAACACGCCCGATCGACCCCCGGGAGTGACGTTCACCCCAGGGGCGTTTGCGGGCGTCGGTCCCACTGTTGTACTCTCGACCTACGCCGCCGGCGAAGTGGGCACCGCCAACGTCAGCTTCATCACGTCGAATTCGATTCCAAGTGACGGGCACGTCATCATCACCTTCCCATCAAACTTCACGAGCGTGGACTGTTCAGTGGCTCTCGCGTCGGGTATGGACGGCGGTCTCGTTTCGAATGTATCCGGATACACCGTAGACGTGGAGCGCGACGGATTTGGTTCTGCAGTGGAGCCAGGGACGGAAGTGTCTGTGAGCTTGGTCGATTGCGTGAAGAACCAGCTGTTTGAGGGCGAGAGCGATTCCTTTCCCGTCCTGAAGACGACACTCAACGACACCGGTATATCCGTCGACGAGGCGAGCTCTGCACACAACTCGGAAGACCAACCAGCGGCGGTGTTGTTCACCCCGGGAGCGTTCTCAGAGCCACCAACGGTCGAGTTGGACAGCCTTGTGGCGGGCCACGAGGGCGGAGCGAATGTCACTCTCGCACTGTCGAACCCCTTGCCGGCTGATGGGAACATATTCATCGAGTTTCCCAGTGAGTTCTCTCCCATCAACTGCAGCCACGTTGTGGCCACGGGCATCGACGGTGGCCTGGAGGTGTACGTGGCTTCGGACGCCGTCCACACGGTGCGTGTGCAGCGGGCCGGGGACGGTAGTGTCGTGGTAGGGGGATCGAGCGTGTCTCTCGCGTTGGTCGACGGCATAACGAACCAGGTGTTCGAGGGCGTGAGCGCATCGTTTCCGTCAGTCAAAACCACTTTGACGGACGTCGACGTGGCCATAGATGAGACTAGCGCCGAGTTCAACACGCCCCGATCGACCCCCGGGGAGTGACGTTCACCCCCAGGGGCGTTTGCGGGCGTCGGTCCCACTGTTGTACTCTCGACCTACGCCGCCGGCGAAGTGGGCACCGCCAACATCAGCTTCATCACGTCGAATCCGATTCCAAGTGACGGGCACGTCATCATCACCTTCCCATCAAACTTCACGAGCGTGGACTGTTCAGTGGCTCTCGCGTCGGGTATGGACGGCGGTCTCGTTTCGAATGTATCCGGATACACCGTAGACGTGGAGCGCGACGGATTTGGTTCTGCAGTGGAGCCAGGGACGGAAGTGTCTGTGAGCTTGGTCGATTGCGTGAAGAACCAGCTGTTTGAGGGCGAGAGCGACTCCTTTCCCGTCCTGAAGACGACACTCAACGACACCGGTATATCCGTCGACGAGGCGAGCTCTGCACACAACTCGGAAGACCAACCAGCGGCGGTGTTGTTCACCCCGGGAGCGTTCTCAGAGCCACCAACGGTCGAGTTGGACAGCCTTGTGGCGGGCCACGAGGGCGGAGCGAACGTCACTCTCGCACTGTCGAACCCCTTGCCGGCTGATGGGAACATATTCATCGAGTTTCCCAGTGAGTTCTCTTCCATCAACTGCAGCCACGTTGTGGCCACGGGCATCGACGGTGGCCTGGAGGTATACGTGGCTTCGGACGCCGTCCACACGGTGCGTGTGCAGCGGGCCGGGGACGGTAGTGTCGTGGTAGGGGGATCGAGCGTGTCTCTCGCGTTGGTCGACGGCATAACGAACCAGTTGTTCGAGGGCGTGAGCGCATCGTTTCCGTCAGTCAAAACCACTTTGACGGACGTCGACGTGGCCATAGATGAGACTAGCGCCGAGTTCAACACGCCCGATCGACCCCCGGGAGTGACGTTCACCCCAGGGGCGTTTGCGGGCGTCGGTCCCACTGTTGTACTCTCGACCTACGCCGCCGGCGAAGTGGGCACCGCCAACATCAGCTTCATCACGTCGAATCCGATTCCAAGTGACGGGCACGTCATCATCACCTTCCCATCAAACTTCACGAGCGTGGACTGTTCAGTGGCTCTCGCGTCGGGTATGGACGGCGGTCTCGTTTCGAATGTATCCGGATACACCGTAGACGTGGAGCGCGACGGATTTGGTTCTGCAGTGGAGCCAGGGACGGAAGTGTCTGTGAGCTTGGTCGATTGCGTGAAGAACCAGCTGTTTGAGGGCGAGAGCGACTCCTTTCCCGTCCTGAAGACGACACTCAACGACACCGGTATACCCGTCGACGAGGCGAGCTCTGCACAAACCTCGGAGGATCGACCAGCGGGGGTGTTGTTCACCCCGGGAGCGTTCTCAGAGCCACCAACGGTCGAGTTGGACAGTCTTGTGGCGGGCCACGAGGGCGGAGCGAATGTCACTCTCGCACTGTCGAACCCCTTGCCGGCTGATGGGAACATATTCATCGAGTTTCCAAGTGAGTTCTCTCCCATCAACTGCAGCCAGGTTGTGGCCACGGGCATCGACGGTGGCCTGGAGGTATACGTGGCTTCGGACGCCGTCCACACGGTGCGTGTGCAGCGGGCCGGGGACGGTAGTGTCGTGGTAGGGGGATCGAGCGTGTCTCTCGCGTTGGTCGACGGCATAACGAACCAGTTGTTCGAGGGCATGAGCGCATCGTTTCCGTCAGTCAAAACCACTTTGACGGACGTCGACGTGGCCATAGATGAGACTAGCGCCGAGTTCAACACGCCCGATCGACGCCCGGGAGTGACGTTCACCCCAGGGGCGTTTGCGGGCGTCGGTCCCACTGTTGTACTCTCGACCTACGCCGCCGGCGAAGTGGGCACCGCCAACATCAGCTTCATCACGTTGAATCCGATTCCAAGTGACGGGCACGTCATCATCACCTTCCCATCAAACTTCACGAGCGTGGACTGTTCAGTGGCTCTCGCGTCGGGTATGGACGGCGGTCTCGTTTCGAATGTATCCGGATACACCGTAGACGTGGAGCGCGACGGATTTGGTTCTGCAGTGGAGCCAGGGACGGAAGTGTCTGTGAGCTTGGTCGATTGCGTGAAGAACCAGCTGTTTGAGGGCGAGAGCGACTCCTTTCCCGTCCTGAAGACGACACTCAACGACACCGGTATATCCGTCGACGAGGCGAGCTCTGCACACAACTCGGAAGATCGACCAGCGGCGGTGTTGTTCACCCCGGGAGCGTTCTCAGAGCCACCAACGGTCGAGTTGGACAGCCTTGTGGCGGGCCACGAGGGCGGAGCGAACGTCACTCTCGCACTGTCGAACCCCTTGCCGGCTGATGGGAACATATTCATCGAGTTTCCCAGTGAGTTCTCTTCCATCAACTGCAGCCACGTTGTAGCCACGGGCATCGACGGTGGCCTGGAGGTATACGTGGCTTCGGACGCCGTCCACACGGTGCGTGTGCAGCGGGCCGGGGACGGTAGTGTCGTGGTAGGGGGATCGAGCGTGTCTCTCGCACTGGTCGACGGCATAACGAACCAAGTGTTCGAGGGCGTGAGCGCATCGTTTCCGTCAGTCAAAACCACTTTGACGGACGTCGACGTGGCCATAGATGAGACTAGCGCCGAGTTCAACACGCCCGATCGACCCCCGGGAGTGACGTTCACCCCAGGGGCGTTTGCGGGCGTCGGTCCCACTGTTGTACTCTCGGCCTACGCCGCCGGCGAAGTGGGCACCGCCAACGTCAGCTTCATCACGTCGAATCCGATTCCAAGTGACGGGCATGTCATCATCACCTTCCCATCAAACTTCACGAGCGTGGACTGTTCAGTGGCTCTCGCGTCGGGTATGGACGGCGGTCTCGTTTCGAATGTATCCGGATACACCGTAGACGTGGAGCGCGACGGATTTGGTTCTGCAGTGGAGCCAGGGACGGAAGTGTCTGTGAGCTTGGTCGATTGCGTGAAGAACCAGCTGTTTGAGGGCGAGAGCGACTCCTTTCCCGTCCTGAAGACGACGCTCAACGACACCGGTATATCCGTCGACGAGGCGAGCTCTGCACACAACTCGGAAGATCGACCAGCGGCGGTGTTGTTCACCCCGGGAGCGTTCTCAGAGCCACCAACGGTCGAGTTGGACAGCCTTGTGGCGGGCCACGAGGGCGGAGCGAATGTCACTCTCGCATTGTCGAACCCCTTGCCGGCTGATGGGAACATATTCATCGAGTTTCCAAGTGAGTTCTCTTCCATCAACTGCAGCCACGTTGTGGCCACGGGCATCGACGGTGGCCTGGAGGTGTACGTGGCTTCGGACGCCGTCCACACGGTGCGTGTGCAGCGGGCCGGGGACGGTAGTGTCGTGGAAGCTGGTGCGAGCGTGTCTCTCGCGTTGGTCGACGGCATAACGAACCAGTTGTTCGAGGGCATGAGCGCATCGTTTCCGTCAGTCAAAACCACTTTGACGGACGTCGACGTGGCCATAGATGATTCCAGAGAAGGGCCCGACCTTCCAGACTTTTCGTTTTTGGCGGGAACATTTCCGGTCGTAGGCGCTTCATTGCAATATGATGTGGCGCTTATGGAGACATCCATCACATTTTCTTTGACCATCGCGAACCCTCTTCCGGTCCTTGCGTTAGTGCAGATTGAGTTTCCTCCGAGTTTTCCTTCCGTTTCACCGATGGTTGCGGACTCGGCCGAGCTAGGTACGGTGAGCGTGAACGGGACGTTCTCAGTTTCCGTTCAGCGCGACGGGCTCGGTGATATCGTTCCGACAGGAACATCAGTAGCGCTTATTCTCTCAACGGTCATCAACCGAGGGTCCGTGGGAGACACCGGCAACTTCTCCGTCACTACGTTCACCGACAGTTCCATGAATAACAGGTGCGGCTTCACGATACGTGTCCAGGATCAGTTGCGTTGACACTGGAGCACACGCCCGTCGTTTTGCAATACAAATGTTTGAAAACCACCACGTTGTCTTTTTCATCATGTTAACTTGCCGCGATTTTGAGGTTCCTGGCCGAAATTGTTGTACGTGATTTTCGTTGAGATGGGACACAGCGTCACGGTGACGTGATCATACTTGGAGGGAATCTTGCGCTGTCAATGTGTCACCTTGGTCTGTTGCGCCCGTGCAATTTGTGCGGTTGATCCCTCCAATCAAACGAACATTTTGCCGTCGAGGACTCCGGGGTTAACCGGAGAATTTTTGGGGTTCGAATCACATGAGCACAGTGTTCGGTCACACACTTTCATTGTGTCAACTGTGGTCCAGACCGCGCAGCGTTTTGCGATGCCCTCAGCGGCCCGCACGGCTCAGACACAACGTGGTTTTCGTACAGGCAAGGGTGGAAGGGGGCGGAAAAGCTGTGGGGTCGTTCACCATCCTCATCACGCAAATCGTACGGGTCGAGTACACCTGTGTGGATGCACTCTATGGTGATACATGAACAAACACAGGAAAAAACGTGCCCCACGTAACCTGTCAGTGTAACTTTGATGGGCGTTGACTATGAAATAATCCAAAAAATATATCCTGACCCCACAGAGGACACTAAAAGCTAAGTGGGAGGAAGATTGGCGGCTATTGTGCCACCCCGTCTCTCCCCGACCCCTGGAAACGGATGGACACAAGCTGAATAGGGTCCTCAATGACGACGACCAGCGTTCAGAACTGGGCTAGGAACGTACCCATTCAACGTTAGGATGGACCGAGGAAGTTTGAATTCTAACGTATAGGTGACAAATGCAGGCAACCAATAGGTACGCCCACCGCCCCCCCGGGCAGCGCCATATGTCGGCAAGTTTGTTTGTAGGGAGGTGGGCGGACGTAGCGAGGCAACGGGAGTACTCTAGGCTACGATAGCGTTGAAGGGAGGTGTCGTCAATCTTTTGGCGAAGTCTTGGCCCTCACGTACTTCGACCTGCAGCCTTCCTGATTCGATGGCTTGTCCCACCACGTACCTGCCATACCCGGATGTCCTCTACCAGACATTGCAATAGCAATAGGATGTTCTGAAGAGAAAAGCGTAACAAAAAACTACGTTGGTCTTCATGGGAATGTTCGTTCTTAAAAGGCCTTCTTCATTCATAATACTGATGTTCGGAGGCAAACCTTGAGCTGTTGTTCCCGCTATCCCCCGCTCTTGCTCGTGCCTCTGCCTGTTCCTGCTAATCGCAGGATTGACGTCGGCGTTGCCGCATCGGTTGTGGTCGGAAAACAAGTTTTATCAACAGCTGCCGCGTTTGGATCGTCCTCTGTGGCCGTAGCTGCCCAGAACAAACGATGGACGTTCTTTGGTCACGGCGTGGCTTTGGAAGATAAAGTGAAGTGGGTGAATTCCAGCGCCACTTCGGATGAAGACTGCAACTGGAACGCTGAGGAAATCAATATTGACGTTTTCAACGGCAGTGCATCCAGTGCCATTGTCACGTTTAGCGAGAGCTCCGAAACGACCGGCCCCCTTCAGCTTTGCTATCAGTTTTCCAACGGCAGCCACCCCTTTAAACTGTATCCTGCAATCAATATTGATGTGTTTGAGCTGTACAGCGTGCAGGATGCAGAGCAGGGTAGCATATCCCTCAGCGTTGTCGGATATGCCAAAGTTTTGACCCTGTCAGGATTTGGGAATGCCGAATTCGACGAAGCAAAGTGGCTTCTAGGTTCGACCAACTGTTCGTCCGCTCGGGATGTTGCTCCCTTGGCCTCGGGTGGTGACGGGGAAGTCAACGCTGCTAGTGTGTCGTCTACCTTCCAAGCTTCGTTTGAGTTCACCGAAGATGTCTTCACTCAGGCGGCAGCTGGAAACACCAGCGCCGGTGCCACCCTATGCTACAGGTTTGGGTCTGAGGAGTTTCAACATTATCCAAGTATCTCGATGGGAATACTCTACTTGAACGGAATTACATCTGCGGTGGGAAGCTCCTCTTTGGCGGTGGTAGATGTACCGGAAATACTCAGCTTCAGTGGGTATGGAATATCGGAAAACGCCTCTTCGGAGGACCGTGCAAGATGGATCCTGTCCGGCACCGACTGCTCCGACAACTGGGCACTGATTTCTGATGAAGTGGCCACCGACGGCCGGGTGGAGGTTTCTAGCGGCGAGGCCACCTTCACCTTCATGACTTCGATGTCGGGCGAGACCCCAAGCTTGTGCTATTGGTTCCAGGATGAGCCTGGCGTGCTCTTTTCGTCTGTCGTGATCAATGTGGCCCATCTGTCAACTCTGTCAGCCCCATCTTTCGGCGATGCCGATGTCGCCGTTGTTGGGTACCCCAAGAGTTGGGGATTCTCCGGTGGGCACATTGAAGACAATGATTTCGTACGATGGATCTACAACGAGTCCTCCGATTGCTCTGAATCGAATGCCCTGCCGGAGATGGAGGAGGACGGCAAGATCATTTCTGGCGAAACTACGTGCACCTTCGCGGAAAGTGTGTCCGGACGCTGGATCACCCCATGCTACAGGTATGTCAAGGGAGGGCTGATTGTTGTCGAGGAACTGCTTTCTCCCCACAGCCCAACACCGCCAGTAAATGTCATCGAACGAATGTCGTGGTAGTCTTCCTCACTTCTTTTGAAAAGCTGCAGCGTGTTTTGTTGTGCTGTGCCGTGAACTGCCGAAGAGGCATGAAAGACTATGGGGAGGTAGGTCTTTCTGTCCCATAGGCAGCAACCTAATCTACAACAATTTGTTCTTGACTCACATATGTAGGCACGGCAGCGAGCCATGGCGCCGGTACTCGATGCCCGTGTACGTAAAAATGGTGCACAACATGACAGCGGTATGGGGCAGCGATGCGACTTGCGTGGTCGATCAAGGCAAGAAATGGGCTTTTGAAGGGGACGGTCTTCAAGCTGGCGACGAAACAGACTTGATCAAGTTTGTCATCAACGACACCGATTGTGCAAGTAACTCTGAGGCCCCGCTGACAGGGGCTGACTCGGATGGCGTTGCCATGTACCTTGAAACAGACAGCACAGCGACATTCATCGTCGAATCCGCAGCAGCAGGCTACTTCATCAACCTGTGCTACAAATTCGGCAATGAAGAATTCATGTGGTACGACATCCGGGCGTTTGCACATATGGTGAAGTCGGTGGATTCGCTTGTGGGTGGGAAAGACATCGCCGTCGTAGACGTGGAAGAAGTTCTTGTTATCCGAGCCAACGGTACTTCGTCACAGGACTATATGCGATGGATTGTGAGCAACGAGACATCCGGAACCTCGTGCAACGATACCGCCGTTGTCCTAGACGGCCCTAGCGAAGGCGCAAACGAAATCATCGACATGCCCATTTTCTATAGAGGAGGTGTTTTCCTCGCGAACTTCACGTTCAGCGCGTCATCTGCGGGATTATCGCCCATTCTGTGCTACAAATTCGCAGGTGAGATTGTGTGCGTGCGTGCAAACCTCTAGAAAGAAGCGCATTTGGGCTGTGGTGTGACTGGAGCATCGATACCCTGTGTGAGCTGGATCGGTCGTTGATTTGTAGGCCGCGTTGCCAGTAAGGGGAGTTAACTGCCCTGTCTCTTTCGTCAGCAGAGCGATTGGCGTATCTCAAGCGCAGTGCTCGCTACTGCTTCATTCCGTTAACGCAGCAAGGTCACCGGTGCCCTCAATGTTGCCTTGTGATTTCAGACGAGCCATGGAAGGCATACAACGATGTGACTATTGATGTGGCGATGCTTCAAGAAGTGCACGCAAACGAGGGATCTAACTATGTCGCTGTGGTCAACTACTCAAAGATGTGGACTATGGCCGGGCAGTTCTTGGCCGCTGGGGATCAGGTTCGAGAAGAAGTAGGTGCTGTGTAGAACACAAGGCTTGATATATCGCACCTTCCTCTAGTAAGTGGTACCTTGCGTCCAGGGTATATAGGACTCGGACAGGGAAAGCTGTGATTTTTTCTCAGCCTGTCGTCATACTTGGCCTTTGACCCTTGTTTACTTGTCAGGTTTTTTGGTCAGCATCGACCTGCGAAACAGCTTCAGCTGCTAATCTGGTGGGAGACCCTGACGGGATCCTTCTTGTAGACTCTACCCTGGCACCATGGTTCGCGTTCGATAGTTCTGCATCCGGGTCTATCGTGCACATATGCTACAAGTTTAACGGTAAGTCCCTTCAACTTTCAGCGTGTAGAGATTTATATCATATGTTCTACTGCTGGTGTGTCAAATCTGAACCGAAGCGCACATGAACGACCCATGACGAGCACCACGAAACAGGAATCATGTCGATAATGGCATCGACAATGGCATGATCAAGGCCTATTGCTTGTGCTATGTACCACAGACGAGCCCTTCAAGGAGTACGTGGGATTCGAGATCGACATCCGGATGATTCGAGCTGTTGCGGTAGATGTGGGGTCCCCTAGGAAGGCCATTCCCGGTGTGGCGAAGACGTTTTCGTTCATAGGGGACGGCACAGCAACCGAGGTATTTCGTACGCACGGAGGAACCGTTGCGTCGGGTATTGTAGCTTGTTGTCTACAATGATGCCTTCTGCAGAACACAAGCGAGTAAGGTTGTGGAGAGACTTGACTGCACTTCCAGACGTGTCACACTGTTATTTATAACACACGTCTTTCTCAAACTACACTATTTCTCCTGCTCTTGATGCTGCTCTGTTCAGGCGGGGCTGGACCAGGTCAAGTGGGTCGATGGTGATGATTGCTTATCGAACGGAATCACCGGTGATGTCGAAGATGCCGAAGGGATACGAAGCTTCAATCTTCTGTACTTCGACGCTACAGGCTTCACCGCCCAGACGATAGCTTTCCCCGAACGAGAGATTGGAGGACCATACGCCATGTGCTGTGAGTTTGACTCGTGCGTATTTCTTATTGATGGGTTCAGCTTAGCCTCGGTTGTATCTCGTGTGGGTGTCACACTGTACTCTATCTTTTTGCATTCCTGATGAAGGCACGGCGGGACTGAAAGGCACGCTGATGGTTCCCCACCTACCATGCGTACCTCGTGCTCTCGCGAGAAATTTTCAATCGCTTCCCGTTCGTCTCTCTCCCGTCCTTGGCTGGAACAGACTCCTTCGACGAGGAACCCTATCAGGTCTATGTCGACCTCGTGATGACTGTGCTGGGAATCTCAGACGTGACTGCAGCAGAGGGAGCAGCCAACACGATCGTTGTAGGCGCCGTCAAGCGTCTTAACTTCACCGGAGGAGGTGCTGTTGAAGCTGGAGACAATGCAGTCTGGGTGTCTGGTGGACGGGTTGACAGTGACTGTCTGGTGACGGCATTTTTGTCTGGCCCTGAAAGCACGGTGGACTTACTCAATGGAGCCGATTTTTTCATCCCGGATGAAGATGGCGAGGGCATGGCGGGCAGAACATGGACCCTGTGCTATCGGTTTGGGTGAGAACGCTTGGATCGGTCAGCCACCGTTTTTCGCATGTTTTTTTGGTATGCGGTGCAGGGCAGGTTGTTAAAGCGACAGAGGACTGCGTCGACTTTCAGCTCGTGTTGCTCGCTATCTCTACACCACGGTGGGTCGTGCCGGTTGCCTCAGATTCAGGCACTTGACAACACTTGTTTCAAGCTGCCTGTCCTGACCACCCCGCCCCAACCCTTCCTATCTTTTCAGGACGGAGAGTTTCAAAATCTACACGTCGTTCACATTGACGGCGGTTAGGTTGGTTGATTTTTCTGCGGAAGATGGCTCTGACGATGATAGTGTCGTGGGTTATCCAAAAACTTTCCATCCTTCCGGGTTTGGAATCGCCGAGGGTGACAAATCCAAGTGGGTGATGGCCTCCGTTTCGAGTGACGAAGGTTGCGAGTCCGATGGTGTCGTTGATGAAGAGCAGGTGGAGTGGACCATGTACACGCCAGCATTGGTGACGGCAAACACATCAACAGTCGACCCAATGACAACCACATCAAGCGGGAGCTCAGCAGTGGCCACATCAAGCCCAGAGGAGGAGGTGCTCTCGTCGACCTTTACGTTTACAACGCCAACGTTCAGTTCGACCAGAGTGCAGTTGTGCTACAAGCATCAGGACGAGCCCTACCATCTCCATGCTGGTATAACGTTGCGCACACGACAACTGTTGTCAGCGACAATTCGCGAGTTGGGCACAGAGCAGGTGCTCACGTCCATCACAAACTCACCGCAGGTGGTGGCTTTTGTGGCAGTTGGTGGGATGGAAGGTGATCAATACAAGTGGGTTCCTGCAACCGAGAGTTATACCTCCGAGACCTTGCTCGACCTCTGCGCTGATTCGGTGGACCCTGCCGCCGGTTCTTTGGTTGGTGTCGCTGCCGGATTCTACCAAGAGGCATCCTTCACGTTCACGGAACCAGTGTCAGACTTGATGCTCTGCTACGCCCCCGGCTCAGAACCCTTCATGCCGTACCCAAATATTACTATGGAAGCGCTTGCTCCGGTTATCGCAACTTCGAACACCACCCATGTGATAGCGGGACGGTCGACAACTGTTCGGCTGATCGGCACATTCGGTCTAACCTCCGGCGATGCCTTGAAACTAGCCGACAACGCGGATGGGGACTGTGAAGGTAACGCCGCTGGGGGCGATGAGGCAGAGTTCGCTCCGGACACGACCGTGCTAGGCTCTTCCGGGCCAGCACTAGGCACGTGCACCATCACCCTATACGTGAGCGACCGCACGGAGGAAAACAGGCCGTACAAGCTGTGCTATAGGTTTGGCGCCGCGGGGGTGTGGGAGCTGTTTGAGAATGTGTCATTGGAGGCGTACGAAGTGACAGGAGTATCGATGGACAACGACGGGGAGGGGTCCCCCGCGGCTGGGGATGCCCTGCAATTCTCGTTTTCCGGAACTGGAATCGTCGATGGAGGTGAAGTTGGGAGACCCTTCCTCATTCGTAGCACTCGGGAAGTGGCTTTGGTCGTCGTTTTTCGTCTGAACAAATTGTGTGGGGCGTTCAACTGTTATTTCTGTGTTTCGTAGTATTCCCACTAGTCGAGACGACGTTCGCGCAATCAGGCAATCACAAACAGGAGTTAGTCACGTGTTCAGCCCTTAGATGCTGCATAACTATTCCGTGTCAGCTGCAGTACACTACAACTGCATTTCGTCAACCTGGTTCGTGTTGTGCTCACATGCCCGCAGACCTCGCGAAATGGGTGGGCGCCTCTACTTCTTCCGACATCCAATGCGACGCTGCGACACCTGCATTTGGGTCAGCGACGGCCACGGTTGTCGGAGGTGTCGCCGAGTTTGCGTTTGATGCCAATGTAGAGGACTGGGTCCTGTGCTACAAGCATGGTTCGGACGACTGGAGGTTTTATGCAGCAATCGTCCCCGTATCAGTTTCGAGCACGTCATCTTCGGGCACAACAGCGATCAGCGACACTCAACGGACAAAAGCTCACGTTTCTTTTACGATGGAAGGTCAAATTTCTTCGTACCCCGAGGGGTCTGACGCTCGGACGAATTTTTTGTGGGCTTTCTTGCTGGATCTAGCGCGAGCTCTCGGGGTGGCAACTTCGAGGTTCACCATTACCGACATGCGGGCGGGCTCTGTGGTGGTAGACTTCACCATCGAGCCAACGGGGTAAGCTTGTACGATTGCGCTGAATATTGTAAGGTTGAATGCAACTTTACGCGCTGTGACACGAGCAGGCCATTCCACAAGAGCGACAAGGACAGTCTGCCTAGCGTTGAAACTACCCAAACGTCAGTGGGTACACAAGCCCGAGAGAGTGCTGAGCCCAATCTAGAGCATGCTATCACAAGCAGAGGTTTGGCGAACACGACGTGAACCGATGCCATTCTGAGGCAAAACGATTCCTCCTGTCGAGTACGGAGTAACCACGAATACCCACAAGAACGGCCACTGTCCGGCCGAGAACTGAGGAAAACGACACTACGTGTGTTTGGGGTTGCACGCTTTGGAACGCGATGTATGATATATTGCTGCTACTAACCCTCCACGACAATGTGTTGGAGTGGAAGATTGTTTTGCGTACTGCGGCGATCTCCTTTGCAGCGACAGGAACCGTAACTATTTGTCGTTTTTCATTCGGGCGTGCAACCGTACTCGTGTGACAACAATGCTGACACGCCTTATCCCAACCACGCTCTGTGTTTGTTGCTTACCAAATGCAGCTCACTGGCAGATCAGTCTGTCACTGAGCTGCTCACGAACCTGGACGAGCAGATATCAGACGAATCTAGCTCTTTGCGTAATGGCAATGTAACGTCTGCTGCCAAAGGGCTCACATACACCACGGTTGTTGAAGCGGACACGACGCCCACAGACTCCTCAGCGGCTGTGATCGGGCTCTCGGTGGTTGAGTATCGGCCAAAAGGCTTGTTTGGCTTCACGTCGACTGTCTGGTACACAACAGAGGCCAGCGGGACAGTAACTCTGACGATTGCGCGAGACCACGGCACAAAGGGTGTTATGGACATCGGGTATACCACTGCAGATGGGAGCGCCACCGGTGGAGACGATTACACCGCCTTGGCCGGCACCGTTCGGTTTTACGACGGAGACACCTCTAAAACTGTGGATGTTCCGCTGGTGGACGATGTTGAGACGGAGGCACACTTCGAGTCGTTTTCCATTGCCCTCAGTCTTGAGGGGCCCATCAACGAAGGCGCTGCGTTGAAGGCAACGGCCACAGAGGCAGAAGTTCTCTTGTACGACTACGGGGATGGAGTCGTCCTAGCAGATGCAACGTTTTCTGCCAACCCAAAGTCCTCCTCAGGTGGAGCAGAAGATCTTGCTCTCGGCTGGAAAATCACAGATAACGGAGGGCAAAGCGGATGGGTGGACTCAATCGGCTTCGCGGCTAAAGATGCTATATTCGGCGCCGACGAGTATGGTATGTTGTACGGCATGTCACTCTATCCCAATTCGAAGACAAAAATCATGTAGCAGGCATGCTGTCACTGTCGCGATCGTTCTGCTTGTAAGGGGTGTGTTGCGATAACTCGAAACCGGCAGAGGCGCGTGCATGGCAGCGAAGGTCGGCAGCCCTGTTGGCGCTGCAATCCTGATGCCATTAAAATAATCTCCTGCCTTTGCCCCTTGCCATCCTCGCAGATGATCGATGCGACTATGCTGCGACGGCGCCGTGTGACCATGACTGCATATTTGGGGGTGGGCTGGCTGAGCTCTTCCCAGCAACCGGCGAAAGCCCGTCAGTGATTCGTCTCAACTCGACAGGCTACGTTACGACAGTAGACCCCGTCAGCAACTTTCCTTCCACGGCCTTTTCATTGTCGTTCTGGATACGAGGGATCTCGACGTCTGGTGGAAGAGGTGGCGGAACGGTGGTGTCCTACGTTGGCCCAAATTCGAGCCCGAGCGATTTCGAAGTTCTCCTTCACAATTTGAACGGGCTGAACCTTCTCGTGCACGGGAAGTTCGTTTCCGCTGCAGATCGCTACGATGGTCCTTCAGGAGGAGATCTTGGCGGAATCAGAACTGGGATAGACGTGGCCCGCGATGGGGCCTGGCATCACGTGACGGTCGCGTGGAGATCTGCGGATGGACGGGTAGATGCGTTCTACGACGGCGCTCGGGTGTTTGATGGTGGCCCCTACAAGGCCGGGATGACATTGTCAACCGGGGGGAGACTGGTTTTGGGACAAGCGCAATCAAGCGATTGTACCTCCGCCCAGGATGTGGTCACGGCAAACGTGTCCACGTCGGACCCTCTTGAGTGCGAGGTAGTAAGTGGATTGAAAGGACCAGGGGGGCTCGAGGCAGAGGTCCAGCATCTGAGGTTATGGTCAAAGTTTGTGACTGCCGATGAGGTGGCCCAGCAGATGCACGAGCCTTTCGAGGGAAACACGGTTGGACAGGTGCGAGCCTTTTTTTTTCTGCGGAGTATAGATAGCGAGTCTGGTGCGCCTGTTCCATTCGGCACACGTTAAACCATGGGTGGATGTCCAACAGGAGCCGAACCCTGCAGCTGTTGGATGCCGATGATGAACATTTGCTCGAATTTCATTCCCACCCTCCTCGACACGGCAAGGTTCTTCACTGGGATTTCACGCCCGCCTCAATGGAAGGCCGTTTCGTCGAGGATTCGTCAGGCGTCGGCGAAAGTGTTTCGGGAGAAGCCAATCACGGTCTTCTGTCTGAGAACGGGGTCGGGTTGGTGCAGGCCTCACCGAGCCTGAATCCCGGCTACCCATGCGGAGTCGTCCACGCCGGCATTTGGAGGTTCGCCGGGTCGGAGGAGTTTGTCACAGGGCTACGGAGAGGCACATCGTACGGCGGGCGGCTGCAATTCAGGTTCGACGTCGTCAACGGTGCTGCGATGTCACCAAATGATTCCTCATGAGGTTCAGGCTCGTGTGTGTGGTTAATAGACGCACGTTGTGTGACATGAGAAACTTCCCCGACTAGCAATCATTATAATTTCGACGAGAGTGGGAACAACGATCCCGTGTCATTTTAGCGCAGATGGGGGGGAAAGGAAAGAACAATATATCGCTGATCAGTGTGTGCATGGAGATCGTGAAAAATCAATCTTGGAATACAACGATAACTTGGAACGGAACGGGCACCGGAGCGCAAGATGGGTGCGATCCTCATAAATTTAGACTCGCAGGTTGAGACTGCCTACAGTAGAATTGAACGGGGTATTGTGTTGAACATGAGTGTGCCATGGCTAGAGAGGGACGCGTAAGAGCAGCCGAAAAAAACACAGATGGCACCAGCCGAGAAATTTCAGCCATGTACGATGTGCTCAACGTGAGAAGTTACAACTGACGTTCCCGAGTAGGGGCAGAATTGCTATAGTGAAGGGACTGTGCACCGTTGTCACGGTGGAGGAGGAAGACAGTGCAAAGAAGGACAGATGTGTGTGAACTTTTCAAAAAAAGCAACCTGAAGAAGTAGATGGGAGTTCTTGTAAGTGGGTCGGGCATTGGTAAGTTCGGCACACAAGACAGTGGGAGTAGTTCAGAACCACCACAACATTGATAAGCAAGAATGACCTACGTTTTGGAAGACAGAACGGCCAACAGCGCTCGAGTTTTGGATGCGTGTCTCAAACCAGCAGTGTTTCGCCTCGAAAGGGGTGTGTGGTCAACAGTCAATGAGAAATGCGAGCTACCACAGTATGTAGCCTCCCGCACCTCCACGGCGTCGATTCAATGATGTGAGTCGAAAAAAGAAGGAACGATAACCCGGTGTCTCATGACCGATTGTGAACCCCATTTCCAAACTCCACTATTCCGCTCTCAACAGACTGGCCTACTCTGCAGCTAGTGGGGACATACGCTCAACAAGAGGAGCGGTGGTGATTCGCTCGCGCGGTGGCCAAGAAATTTCTTGGAACCTGATTTTCGACGTGGCGGAAGCAGTACCAGGGCATTGGACCCATGTAAGCGTCGTGTTGCGCGAAGATCATGGATGGTTGCACGAGCCGCTCGGGGAGGACGTGACGATGGCCGAGATGAAGGAAATCTTGGCGAATGCTAGTGATATGTTGATTCGAGGCGACCTCCGCGTGTTCGGGCGGAGTGGGGGAGGGCAAGAGGTGGTCTATTTGCAGGATGTTCGGCTATTGGCCAAGGCGTGAGGCGTCAAGGTTTCCGAGTGTGTTGTTGCCCGGGTTGTTTCATGTCGTGTTTGTATATATTGTTGTTGTCGCGCATGCTGTGCGTCGATTATCGGAGTACCTGCAATCCGGTCGTCGGGATATTTCTACAGGCAGGCTGGTAGTGTAGACGTTGGGTGGTGGGGTTGCATCCTTGTCTCTTCTTCACGGCAACTGGCGAGACAAGACGCGTTGTCATGTCACACGTATCTGTGGTGGGCACAAATAGTCAATGAAAGTCGCGACAGCTGTTGCTGACATTTTTATCGTTCCGCAGAGCACAAGTCTTAACGTGAAACGTCAAAGGTACAACATTAACTACCGCACCACGGGAGGTGTGGTTCTTAACAGGCGCGAAAGATTGCGAATCCAAAGCGCCATGAAAGGCAAAGCTTGTATTCCAGTATAATTCTGCATGAACAGTTCCGGCCGCACGCGGTAGTGGTGAAGCCTGTGACAGACCTCATTGACTGCTGGTGCGTGAACTTTGATGATTCAAAGTCACGGCCAAACCAACGCAGCAGGGCAGCTGCACCTTACAAGCATGCTCCTCCAACCGGCTGACACCCCAACCATAGCCTCTGACCCCTCCTCCAGAGCAACTAACCCTATACAGCAACAGTCCTACTCCCACCGGCTAGCGGGGCTCCGTTTTCTACCCGCGGCACAACATCTCCGTCCTCGGACCGATGGTTGTCCAGATCATCATCGTCAGTGTGCACGAACATGCCATACGTGGCGGTTACCGCAGCTTCGGCGTCCTTCATGACTGCCCTCGCAGCCTCTTGGCCGGCGTTTTGCTGACGAACCGAACGAATCGAAGGGGGTGAAAGGTGTCGGGAGACTTGAGGACTGTGGACACGCCTTAATAGAGTGAGAGAAGGCAGTGACTCTCGACCATGCCAACAGATATGTCCGGGGCGAACACTCATCAGAAAGTTGTAGGCTCATCAATATTGCAGGAAAAGTGTAATCCGCCATACGCTCTCCTGCTGTTCAAGCTACAAGTGCAGATCGCCTCCTTTCGTTGGGATTGGGATACACCGCCTTGTTCTTGACGTTGATCTTTTCCGTGGCATGCTCACCTTTAACGCGTTGAGAAGCTTCTTTCTAACCACATCCTGCTGCGCGAGCAGTTGGAGGAGATCTTCATGCTCCGACAGGAGATGCAAGTACTGCTCGCAAATTTCGGAGATCGCGGACGCAGCGGACACAAAAAACGAGTGGGGGTGGGTAACCAACGCAGCGGAACTCGACTGTAAAGCACATACTCACCCCGCAGGGCTCGAGTCTCGCATGGTCCGATGTTTTGTGGTCGGACGATTCAACGAACAGAAACACTCGACGTGCCCTCCACCAACCGCAGCCCGTGCTTTCACCCGTGCAGAACGGCAACAAGTACTTGTAGTGGTACAATATGCAGCAGGAGTACAACCGTCAAACCTGTACTCCATCAGAGACCATACCCCTGCCTTAGGTTTCGTGCCTCGGCGTGCAAAAGTTTTCAGGATCAACAGGCAGAATGCGACAGCTGTCCATGGCTGTGTAACAGCAACCACGCGCCCAACAGTCAATCTGGAGCGCTCTTTACCAGTGCGCCTTTCAGCTTCTTTCCTTCGTCCCCAAACGAACCTCTGCATTGCCCACTTGATCGTCGCGCCCGTCGTCGCTTGCATTCGAGAAGTCATTGAGGGAGTCACCGTTAGCGGAAACAGCCGCGCCATTCGCATGGGGGTCGAGGGGCGTCAACGACTTGCCTAATCCGCTGAGCTTATCTCGGAGCCGCTCTGCTTCTCTCTCGTGAGCAGACCTTGCGTCCTCCACGGCAGCGATAACTGCATCCCGGTCCTGCGTGTGCAAGAACGAACAAGCGTCCGGCCAAACATCACGTTAGCGATAATGTTGGCGGCTGTTTCAATAGCCGAATACTACCATGTTGGCGCAACGAAATATCGGATGGCAAACGTGGACGGCAAAATAAAAAAATCAAACTGCACCGGGGATCATAACTACCAACACACCGTATGCATCATGAAGTAAACAAACAAGACCCTCTGTATCACAAGGTTGTACCTCAAGTTCAGCCTTGGCGTCTTGGAGCCTCTCCTCCGCCTCGCGGACAGCCTGCTGCATCCCCTTCGCTTCGGACGCCGCCGCCGCTTCTCGATCCTCTGCAGCCTTCCGGTCGTCTTCGCTCTGACTCAGGAACGCCTGTCGATCGCGCGCAATCAAACCAACCCGCACGCATACCTCAGCAATTGGTATATATGTGCTAGTATTTGTAGTTGATGTTCTGCTGTCGTCTGTGCGTCCGCATGAAGCCCTGATACTGCTGTCGCCTCGTGAAAAGCTGTCAAAAGACTTCAAGTAATGTGACTCGTTTCACAGAATGATTCGGCCTTTTATCGCGCCTCGCAATGTCTGTCATGCATTTACATTACGGTTGTCGTTTTTCTCGCTTTTCCCCATAACAAACCAGCGTAGACCCCATCTCCATCTCCTGAAAGCATCACTGGCATACCAAGACGCCGTGATGACGTTCTCGGCAAAACGGGAGCACGACGTAGAGGTGTATCAGAGGTGCTGAGTATTCCGAGGCGGACTTGTCGAATGCCCGGCACGACCGCTACATCTCCTCCCGCACAAGAAGCACAGCAAAAACCATAGTCCCGTGCGAAAAGCAGCAGACGCAGCTGTGGTTCGCAGCGGTCAACACCACCGCTGTCCCCACCTGGACTTCCTCCAGCCTGCTCTTCAGCTCAGCGGCCAAAGCTGCCTTCTCAGACGCTTCCTTGGCAGCCTCTTCTAGTCGCAGAGACAAGGCCGATACCGACCCCTCCGCCTCTCGCGCTAGCCCCTGTTCCCGCTCCATCTCCCCGCGAAGGCGTCGCTCTGTCTCCGCGCCGGCAGAGGTCGCTGCTTCCTACACAGGACCGATCCGAACAAAGAGGAAGCACGTTAGAAGATAGAAGAGGGGATGGGGGTCGTGGGGGAAGACGACAAATTGATGCGTGCGTGCCACTCTGTCCCATCATGATGAGCACCTGCATAGGCGTCAGTGTCCTAAACAATTTGCTTCAAACACGTCAGACGCTGATTCAGCAAATCCTGAAAACAAATCCTTCAAAGTCTCGCCAAAAACGTCGCTTGACCACGACACAGGTGCTCGGTGCGCAGACTCACCTCTAACCTAGCGCACCTAGCCATCAGCACCTCCACCTGCTCCGCTTGACCCCTCAACCCTTCATTATCTTCCCGGAGCTGTGCGTTCTGTACTTCGTTCTCCCTTGCTGCAGCCTGGTGTGCCTCCTTAGAGGCTTGCACATCCGCTTCTAGCCGGGTAATTGTAGCCTAACGGGGTATAGGCAGGAACGACACGAACAACAGGTGCATGTCAAAAGACTCAAAAGAGAGCGGTGCAGAGCAGTAGCGCGAGTCCAAAAGGACAGAGAAGGGCCGTACGATACTTGGCGTAATCAGCCCGTCTGGCATCGTCACAAGGCCCAGGGAGGCGCAGTTCCGTCTCTGCCCGCGTTGCCTGCCAGCGGTTCGTTCCATGGCTCCAACTTGTCAGTGCATGCTCGACACCGAGGCAAGGCAGCGCAGCTAACCCCCCAACCCACTAGCTACAGTACGCCATACGGTCCGATCCCAAACCTCACGTGAATGCACGGCTTTGGATACAAGTGACTGGTACAACGAGAAAATTGCGATTGCATTGTTTGTGCAACACCAATACCCGACCTCCTTGTTTCGCAGCTCACGCGCCCAGTCGTCGTTAATCGTGTCCTTCGTCTGCGTCAACAAAACATGTTGGCGGTCCGCCTCTTCCTTTGCCTGTCGGGCGCAGTCATCAAGGCGTCGCTGCCACTCTGCGGCCTCCTGCTCCTCGCGCTGCAATGTCAAGACCACAAAAAAATAGAGGCATGGACTACATGATCATCCACATAATCGAGAATAGCTGATACAGAAGAGACACCAAAATAAGTCGACGGGTTTTAACGTCTACACACAACCCAAACTCGGCAACCCTAAGCCTTAAGCTAGATGATTTGGCCTCACAGGGACATCGACTGTTCGGCTGGGCGAACAAGAGTTGAAACGCTTTACGATTTCGCCAGAAAAAGAGACACGACTAAACGCCAGTGGGACGTTACACATCAACAGCCGATTGATGATCACGCCATCGACTCGGCTTCAACTGTTCAGCCGTGGCAACAGAGTAGCAGCAGAAGCTCGAAGTCTGTGACTACCGTGTTTGTGCTCTCGGACCCAGGGAGTCATTCCTACCTACCCAAGCTGGCAGAGGTTGTTTCGGATGTGGGACATTGAGCTAAGACCTAAGACGCTCCACGAAACAAGTCGATACCCCCCACATCCTAGCCTGGAAAGCGTTCCACACCCATCGACCGATCGGTCGCTCACGTGCTGGACAGCCGACAGCTCCTTCTGTAGAGCCTCGATCTGCTGGTCTCCGCCAGAAGACGCCTCCGCAAGGCTTCGCACCTATTATATTATATTATTCAAGTGCATCACGTCCACGCACCAACACCCCAAACACGTTAACCTCGGGCGCAGAGACCATGCACGAAAGGAAGCAAGAGTGTGCTGAGGTGCGACTGACTGACCAACTGACTCGGCACCCTCGCCAGCGGAAGAACCAAGCGAGGAATGACTAGAGGACGGGCAGGATAGTTGCGGCTTCTTTTAATAATGTCGATATGTTCGATCGTCTTCTGAGTCATGTTGGCCAAGCGCCTGGCACGTGTTCAGTGTCGACATTCACCCACAACATTCCACGCGCAACGCTGCAAAATCCTACTTAGTACGTGCTCAGCATCTGATCCCACACTCGAGCAACACGCTACCTTGTAGCTGACGATTGTCATTTTACTCGACCAGGCCGGACAACCACCGCGAAAATATGCGTAAATCCTGTACCCACCATCCACCATCCGCCATCCACCATCCTCATCTGTCTGTGTGTACGATACGCACCGCGTTGTCGAGCTGTTGTCGAAGCGCACCGATCTCCTTG